TATTAGGGGGCACTAGTTTATCGTTATTACTACCGAGCAGGTCGGCAGTTAGATTAGCTAAGGCGGGAGTTAGGTTGCTAATAAACAGGACCCTAATATTATTAGGATACTCGCTAATGTCGATGTGTTTAATGTCCTCTTTCCTAGCGATTCTAAATCGCTATTGTTAACTGCCTAAGTCTATAACTATAGTATAGTACTTAAGAATAGGGTTGCTAATAACAATGTCGGATAGGAGGCTGTCTATGTCTACCGCGTAGGCAGTAAAGTTTAGTAGGCGTTTATTTCCGAGGTCGTCCTTTAGAGCTATATAGACATAGTAGGCTCCGTAGGTTAAGTGCCGAGCGTTATTAAACTAAGCAAGGGTTAGCAGGTTAGTCTTCGGCAGTTGTCGAAGGTCTAATTGCTTAGCTAGGCGATAGCTAATAAGGGCGCTAACTGAATTTCCGGGGTCTAACCTTAGTCTTATAGTTAGTTCTATACATGTCCGATACGAGATAGGTACGTATAATAGCTAGTACAATGTCGATAGTCTTACGCCGTACAAGGCTAATAGTTAGTGCGGCGCTTATTCTTTTTAAGAAGGTTGGCCTATAGGGGTAGCGTTAGCTACTAAAAGGTACTTTCGGTATTCGGCGGCAGTACGGTCGATTCGGGCCTAGTCCTTAGGTTTGTCGTATTAGCCTAGTAGATAGCTAGTACTATTACAATTAAAGCACTTGGGAGATTATTGCCGTAGCTATTATTACTACTATTGTTAGTCGAGCGGTTAGCATTATAGGGATACGAGCCCCTTCTACGGCCCCTATCGCGGCCTCCTCTATATAGCCGCCGGCTACGGCTTCTTCTACGATCGTTACTATTCCTATTGTTAGCATTGTTGTCTTAGTAGGAACCTTAGTTTCCTCCGCGGCTACGATAGGTAGCTAGGCGTATCTTAGATTCTAACCGTTATTAGAGCTATACTATACGTTTAGCTGTTTCTACCTCGACTATAAATTAAATGCGTATTAGGTTAGTCTGTTTAAACATACGGCGGCGGTCCAATTTAAGGACTAATTCCTATCGCAATTTAGGGCGTATTTCGGAAATCTAGATAGAGTCGGTCTTAGCTAGCAGATCGTCCTCGAGGGTCTTTAAATAGGCCTTAAATAAGCGAGCCGATTGATTAGTCTTTTGTTTAGCTCGAAGGTATTAGTCCTAAGCGTATTATTGCCTTAGTATAGGGTTTCTAAGGGTATCTAGTATAATAGTTTTGTAGGTCTGCTACTAAATAGCGGTCTAATCGTTAAGGGAGTTAAAATAGTTATCCTAGGTACTATTAATGTACTGTATAGCGTATACGACTAAGGAATAGTCGTCTAGTAGCGCTCTTAGTGCGTTGCGCTAGTTAAGCTTACAGTTACGAATGTAGTCGTTGTACTACTTTCGGCTAGAGCTATTAAACACAGTATAGTCCTTGAGTTTAGCATCCTTCTTCATCCTTCTTTTAAATAGAAGGTCCTGCTACTGCTTCTAGTCTAGTAGTAGTTGTTAGGGCTTCCTATAGGCGGCGAATCTCGAGGAGATTATCCTTTAGCTATTGTTCTTAACGTAGGGCAGTAAGCCTGTTTTAGGTAGCTTCTTAGAGTCTCCCTACTAGTTAGGGGCTAAAGGCTAGTTAGCTATATCGACGGTTAACAATATTGTTAAGAATGTCGTCGACAGGCAATTCTAGGTCGTTACCTAGAATTATAGGTTCTTCTTTAATAGGTTCTCCGGTAGGCTCTTTAGTAGGAGGTACTTTAGTAGGCACTTTAGCGGGAACTATACTACTAGCGTTGTTATTGCTAGCGCTGCTAGCGGCAGCACGGTTGTTATTGCTTTGTAATAAGCCGGCTATTATAAGGGGTAACACTAATAATATATTATAGGCCCCTAAGATGCGGATATAGCGGAATTAGTAGATATCGGCTTAGTGCGATTAACTCGGTATAATAGGCCGTATAGAAGGCCTTGCTTAATAATTAGTACGGTTGTTTCGATAGAATAGTACGTATAGGTCCCGTTCTTCGGGCGCAATATAGTTAGATTAGTTATTATAGCTATACCGCTAAAAGCTTGAAATAAGGACTATCTAGCTGCTACCCTTAAAGGGTAGATCGAATACTATATAAGAAGGGTTATATTAGCAGGTAGATAGGGTAGTAGTAAATTAGTGTAGTATTCGATAAGGATCTAGGAGGAGAGGGAGGAAGGTAGGAGAGTTGGCCTAACGCTAAGCGCTAAGCCCTGCCTAAGGCATCGAGACCCTAGCTTCACTCGGCCTAGTTATATACTAATCACGTATAGCCTCTTTAGCCCTAACACTTATAGTCTATAACCCTCGCTACTAAGGATTAGTATAATCCGGACGATAGCTACTAGTCTGTCTTATAGAATAGCTCTAACTATAACTATCTAGCAGTCTATCCGATAGTACTAGCTAACTACCGCCGAAGAGCTCGTACGATAGAGATTGTCGAGGCTATATTATAGTTAAGGTCTATAGGCGTTAGCAATTAATAGATTAAGGCCGCTATTAAGCTCCGTTTTAGTAGTAGAGACTAGCAATCGCCTATTATACCTACTACTTTACGAGACATCTCAAATGCCTAGTAAAAGGCTAAGAAGTTACAACTCGCTAGTAAGTTAGTAGTCGACAAGACGATTAAGGACCTCCTATAATAGAACTACTTCGTATAGAAGGGTATTAGCACTAGACTAAGTAGTAAGCAACGGCTAGAATAGCTATATTTCTCGTACCCTAAGATAATTAACATCTATAAGAATTGTCCGGATATTATAGTTATAGATTGCACCTATAAAACTAACGAATATAGTATACTATTGCTTGTAATTGCCTTACTTAATTAGTTTAACTAAACCTTCCCTCTAGTACTAGTTTTTATACCTAGATAGGCGACTAAGTAGTATTTAATTGCTATTTAGTGCACGTAGGAGTTGTTAGCAGAATATACCTGTAAAGAGCCTCGCCTTATAATCTATAACTGTAACAAGGCACTAATAAAGGCGCTAGCAAGCGACTAGACTTATTTATATACATAGCTCTACCGCTAGTATATTAGACGCGTAGTAGAGGCTAATTCGAAGGCCTTCCTTAGCACTAGACCGCCGGATCTAACTACAAGGCGTAGGCTATTAAGTGTAGCCGTATAGGACTTTATAGACCTATTTAATAAGGCTATTAACTTACTGTCGGTTAAGTCGTTTATAACTAACTCGAAGGCCCTCGAGAACGGCAAGATTACCGCTAGTAAAAGCGAGCCTATACGCGACTACTCGGACAATAAAGACTAGCAATCGCTAGCTAGCTATATAGCTAATATATAGTAGGTCTATCGATAGTACTATATTAAATACTAGATTAATAGGACGCGGCATTATAGTAATATAACAACCTCGCTAGTAGAAGGTTGTTACGCTAGCATTAAGGTATAGTTAACGACCTATAAGAACGATATCTATAGCTTTATTAATAAGATAGTGCCCTACTTCTAGCACTAAGTTAACCGCTATAGGCTTATAGTTAGAGCCGAGATTAGTCGACCTACTATACTATTCTTAAGCGATCTATTCTACGCTAAAGTTGTTAGCTATATTAGTACCTTCGCTCTACGTAAAGTAGCCGAGCGAAGGGCTCTCGTACGCGCCGAGCTCGAGAAGCGGAAGTCTAACAGTTATAGGCTATTAGATTGCACCTAGTATTATCGAAGGGTCTATAGCTTAAATTGTATATACTAGATACTAGCCCTTAAGGAGTCTGTAACCGGCATTCTTACTATTCGTATATTCGAGAAGCACTAGCGAGTACTATAGAGCGATTATAATAGTAACGAGACAACTACTTACTATACCTTAGAGCTACTTAAGCGGATTAATAAGCGGCTTAGTCGTACGACTCGGCGTAAGGCTACTAGACCTAAGCTAATTAAATAGGCCGCTAGACAGGCCGCTAGATAGGCCGCTAGATAGGCCGCTAGATAGGCCGCTAGATAGGCCGCTAGATAGGCTACTAGACAGGCCGCTAGATAGGCCGCTAGATAGGCCGCTATTAACTAGTAAGAAGCGATAAGATAGGCCGAGCCTAGGAGGCCTATTCTACCGCTACTAGTACTACGAGAACGTTTATATAAGGGCTATATATATAAAACGGCCTATAGGAGGTATAAGTGCGTTAAAGATAACGTAGACTGCTACTCTAGCTATTATAAGTATAGGCAGTGCGATAGAAACCCTATATCTACTTATTTACCTACTTAGGAAGGACCTCTGCCCGCTCCGAGGGCTCTACTAGTATCTATAGCGCTAGTAGTAATACTAGAATATACTAAGATCGTATAGTAGGAGCTATACGTTAATGCGAGGGTCGTAGAACCTTATTTGCTAGGTAGGCAGTATGCCTAGAACAGTTAGGATTAGCTATATTGTCTAGTTCTATATCTATTATTTACTTAGTTCCTCTTTCTTACGTTATAATTCTACTTAGCGCTAACGAGAGCACTAGAGGCCTCTATTGCGATATTCTATAGTGTAGATTACTAGCAATATAGTCTCACCGAGGCCGGAGCCGGCTCTCGGTCCGCGGTCTACGAATAACCAGGGCAGGTTTATGAATAGTCGCGCCCCTGAGATGGGAGTTCCAAGATTGAAAGCTCGCCGATGATCGGGCCGGCGGAATTCGACCTCCGAAGACGGCCTCAGGCCTCAAATGATACAGTACATGTACCCAACAACGACGAAGATGCTTCAAACAGTAGCATTCGCCTCCTGAGAATGCTGAGGCGTGCTTGCGCCGGCCCTTCGACATTTGATCTTGGAGGTGTGCTGTCGGATCCACAGAATTACCATGTACTGTTACCCAGCGCCTATCCCTCGTCCTCTGTGGGAAACTTGCTAGATGACTGCAGAATTCATGTCTCGATACGTCATATCTATCATCGTCGACGGACCGGGCAGACCCCAACCATCGATCCCATTGGGCCCTAGCGGTTCACAAAGAGAACGAACAAAGAGGCACTATGCTCCACGTAAGCGTAATCGACCTCCCGAGGCTGGTCTATCAATATGATCTGAGGCGCGATGTCGTACTTCGCAGCGCAAGCTCGGAAGGCCCATTCACTGTGGCTGCATTAGCCCAAGGCAGCGTTGACAGGGCTGTCCAGCTAATCAGCGAAGAGCCTGCGCCTAGAGATGGGGTGGAGAGATGTCAGGACTGGGTGCTGAGGGCAATGATCACGCTCGAGGCAGAAGAAATAGTTCCTGCAGGCACATCTCATTGGGTATCTGGCTTGGTCGGCCAACCCGCAAACAGCGTGGCTCGGGCGGTGGGGGAAAGGTGGATATCTCCTGATGCATGAGGTTGACCAAATCAGCTGCTGAGTAGTCGTTCTTGGCGGAGGAGATCAGACACCTGTATATCTTGTCAGCGTTTGGTTGAGTCGTTCGAAAACTTCATAGTTGTCTCGCTCGTTCTCATCGAAAATTTCATCAAGTGCTGCACCCCATGTTGGCTCACGAGCCCAAGCCCGACACTTGGCCTCAAAGTATTCTCTGCCGCGAATACTGAAGCCGGCACCTTCCCAATCAATGATACCTGTGATGCGATTCGTTTGCTCGTCCACGAGAATGTTGCCAGGACGCAAGTCTCCGTGTGAGAAGACTTTGGTGTCGTCCGTGAGTCGAAGAAGCTGCTCAGCCACATCTTGCTCGACATCATCGAATCCGCCCTCTGGGCGCGCGTTGTGCAATGCATCGATAAGTCCCTGATTATACTCTCGGCGATCCCTGAACGGTCCGTACGATATTTTGACATTCTTGAACGGAAAATGCATGAAGAAGACATCCATGCATGGCTTTTCCCAAAGAGCACCAAAAAGTCTCCGCGCAGGGAGCCCAACTCCTGCACGATGTCTCGTAGTTGGCTCACCAACGAACTTCTGTCGACTGGCGAGAGCTGCTTCCATATGTGCGACAACGGCTTGCCTGGCACGTGGTCCATGAAGATATAACCAATGCCCTCTGATTCATATGCCTCGTGCACTCATGGGACCGAAACCTTTATCGCGCGAGAGACGTAACGCATAGCCTCGGCTTCGCTGAGCTGGACGCCTGCTCCTGCTTTAAGGACTTGATTGGTGTTGTCGATAGTGTATATGCCAGGCGCATTGTATTCTCGAGGCATGCTCTGCGCTCCTGCTGGGAGCACAAGGTGGTCCTCTGGTGAGGCCAGGAGAGCGGAAATATCAATGTCGCTCATGACTTGACGGTATGCCGACGGCGGAAATCCCTTGCTCTTTCTAGCGTTGTCGATTGACAAACAAGTGCTGGTAGGCTGCTAAGCGCTCCTACAATTTGTACGTTCTCGTTGCAATTTCTCTTGCGGTGAGGCTCTCTGCCGGCGCCAAGTTTGTCCGTCCCATCAGTTCTTGTAGCGGGTAGCCAGCGCAGCAATTCACCTGCAGAATAATTCAAGCCACTCCGACATCGAGACTTTAGCTGCCAACCCCTTTCGAGGATCATCATACGTAGCATCGAAGCTGTTATTATTGCGCAACAACGAGAAGTCGGCTTCGTAGGAGAGATCGCGCGGGCGCGCCTGTCAGACCTTTGAAGGACCAAGGCTCTCCTGATCTGTGCGGAGGAACGAGATGCACGCGGACAGCATATGGGCATGAGAATGTCCAGGGAATGCTTCACGTCGAACTCAATGAGGAGAGAAGACGCGAAAGCGGGCTTGAACCCGTTCAGCTGAGATGCTGTCTCTTCTTCATCCTCTGATACTTCCCCTCTAATCTCCAATATGACGACGCAAACATCGATACCATCAGTATTACTCGTCCTCCAAGGCGCTCTCAACACCACACTCGGACTCTATGGCATCCTACGACCAGCCGACTGGATGACACGAGTAGCAGAGAAGTTCGGCGGCAGTATACCTCCAGCTGTAGGCCACACATTGAGGTAGATCCTGATGCGAGGAGTCTAGATGGTTCTCTTCCCAGCTAAACGCAAGACCTACAGCCTACAGCTTTTGAACATGGGCCTCTTCACGCTTCTCGCCGCCAGTCGACCGAGTTTACATCGCCGAGTACTGATTGCAAGAGCTTTTGTCCATCTTCTGACGGGATTTCTGTTCCTGAAAGAGAGTGTCGCGTTGAAAGATACTGCTTGGATTGAGATTGGGTTTGGGGTGGGTAATTTGGTTGCGCTTTTGTTTGGGAGAGGCAGTGGGTTGCGGTGAAAGAGATCGTCTACGATAATTATGCGGCAGTGTCTGTCGTTTTTCGGACAACATCTCCAAAACCAGACAGCAATCCAATTCCGAAAACTCCCGCCTCATCTCCTCCCTCGAATTCCACTCAAACCTCAAAACCAGAACTTCCTAGCTCTGACATTGCCCAACAAGCAACTCAGATCCAAAGTCCTTCCAATTCTCGTCTCAGCCACGAAATGTGTATACTTTCACACTGGTCAACATGGAAACTCGTCGCCACCAAATCAGCCCCACAACTCAATGAAAGAAAACTTCAGTTCCTTCCTCCCCTCTCTAGCCATAGCCTAGAAATGTGAGTGAGAACAACACGTGTGCACCTGGCTTTACTCCTCTTTGCATTGACTTCAGGGCTTTTGAAGTCAGGGAAGGGCAGTTGGTTAAGGGAGAAAGAGTGCTCTTGGCTTGTATTGTCAGTATCGGGACTTGAATTTGGAGCATTTGAGGCAGGTTCTGAGGTCGGCGAGTATGCCTGGGAGGAAAGCTGAGGTTGGTGTGGAGACAGCGCGAGGGCGATTTGGGTGTTGTTTGCTGGGAGTGGTAGGGAGGAGGATATGAGATGTCAATGGGAGCCGGATTTCAGGGCGACGGGCATGCCTTGGGGTGGAATCGCGGCATCAGTAGATACGATCTGGGAGTGAAGGTCCAGGGTGGTAGATATTGACCTGCACCGTGAGGCTGAAGCGTGGCAATGGAAGAGGAAGGGATATGCTGAATGGAAGCGATTGAAGACGTGGTTTGCATGCAACTGGCTATGCTATCATTCCATAACCATGATCGAGCCCATTTTTCATGCGCCAGGCTTTCCGTAACATCGTACTTGCCATCAATCCTCCCAACGCCATACTTGTCATAATGAATCGCTTCCATCACATCAAATCCGGACCACTGTATGGACGATCCGCTTATTTCTTCTTGCTGGCCTCTTCCTCCTCCTTGGCCTTTTGACGCTTCTCGCGCTTGCCAATAAGACGAGCATCGGAGCGAGCGACACGGAGCTGGCGGTATGCGTTCTCGGTGGCTGGGTAGTCGGAAAGCTTGCCCTCCTTGATGGCGACCTTGTTGGAGATTGGGAATGCCTGGTTGGAGATCTTGACCTTGCCGTCGTAGGAATTTCCAGACTCGCCGATCTGGCGGGCAGCCTCGACCTCCTTCTTCTCGGCGTCGCCAGCCTTTGGAGACTTGGTCTTGCGCGGGAAGAGGACGAGACGCTGCTTGTAGGCCTTCAGGCGCTCGACGTTGGCCTTGAGAGACTCCTCGGAGAGGTTCTGGCGGCGTGGGTCGACGCTGATACCGATGGTTGGGGCGAGCTTGCGGGCGATGCCAGCCTCCTGTCGTAATCATCAATGTCTGTGTACCTCATCTCCAATCCTCTTTCAATACCATACCTTCAACTCAGCGAGGGAGAAACCACGACCGGCGCGGACACGGCGGTTGTACTTGACAGTCGGGCAGCGGACGACGGGTCTCAGCTTGTCGACTGGACGTGGCGCGACCTTTGCGGCCTTGGCTTGACGTGCATTGCGTCTGCGCTGCTTGCGGCCAGGCTATACAGCAGAAATCGGGTCAGAATTGTGGTTCTTTGCACTCGCAGGCGCCACTGCACTCAGCGTCTATGGGCATGAGCGGGGAATTACCTGGTCAAAGTGCACGCGGACACGGCGTTGCCAGTCCTTGCGGAAGTCTGGAAGATGTCAGTGGGTGTATGCGAATGGGTGGTGTGATTTCAGATGTTGTCCTTACGGTTGTACTGGATCTGCTGGTTGTGCTTGATCGCCTGAGAATGTGTTAGATAGAGCGCATTGCATGATTGATGCCACGCTGCATACCATCTTGTCGGGCTTGGGTTGGATCAAATACCAGCGATTATGCAGTCGTCGTGACCTTGGGAGACGACCTTCTCTCGCCGAGTGCAGAATTGAGATGCGATGTGGGCGCTCGGGCCGTCTCAGTCTTGGCATTGCGGGTGCGGGAGCTGAATCAGCGGCTCTTCTCCGGCAAACGCGTGAACGCGCTCGCGATGCTTTGCTTTGCTCCTCGCTGCTGCTCACGAGAACATCACTTCACCCATTGCTCTTTCCCCGCAGCTTCTGTGTATGTTCTTGTGCAGGACTTGGATGTGATCGTCCAGCATAACACAATGGCGCCGTCTCGAGCAGAACGACTGGCCCAGTTGCGCGCTCTGCGTAAGGCGGGCAAGACTGCATTCGACGACTACGAGGTGCAGGAGGCCGAATCGATATACGAGACTGTCGACGATGAGGGGTACAAGAAGGTGGTCAGGAGTCGATTGGATCAAGATGACTTCGTGGTGGACGACAATGGCGAGGGTTATGCCGACGACGGACGCGAAGACTGGCAGGATGAACGACAGCCCATGGACGACAGCGAGAGTGACGACGATTTGCCCAGAAACAGCAAGGCCGGTAGGAGAGATCTGGCCGCCGTGACGCTCGCACGATACTAACAAGATTACATAGCCAAGCGAAAGCGTGAAGAGGATGCCGAGCGACAGGAGAAGCTCACCAAGGGCATCAGCAAATACTTCAACCAGAAAACGAACAATGCCGCCCCAAAGCCGAAGCCAGTACGAACGAGAGAAGATGACGACTTTATGGCCGATCTCCTCGGCGAAGTCGATGCGAACGTACAGTCACGAGCACCGTCCTATGGCAAGGCCATCAAGAGCAACGACCGTCGAAAGACGAGAGTGCTTTCGCCTCCCCTAGAAGATCGAGAACCTGTGAGACATAGCCAAAACAAGCCCGCCGCTGCGCCTGTCGATTCTTCTCCCCCAGCAATGATTGCGAATGACGATGACGGATATGTCGTGCCCCAAGATGACGATGTGCCAATGATGAGTGACCCACTGCCTTCTTCTCCTGCTGCAAAGGCGGTAGAGCGCAAAGAGCAGTCCACCATCAAGGCTGAGGAGGCAGAAGAGGAGGACTTAATGGAAATCGCTGAAGTCAACGCTGGCTCTAAACTGAAGAGCGCAAATGTCAACATTCGTGGCAGCCGGCCCGCGCCAAAGCTCGCAAAACCGGCCTACCCTACGCCAGACAGCTCTTCGCCTTCGAGAACGCCCGCAGAAGACGTTGATATGACCGCTATCAACAACGTCGCTTCAAAGCTCAACATTCTCAGCAGCCCAGCACAGGAAACTGTCTCTGCTGGCAAGTTGGATTCGAGAGATGCTCTCGAGGATGACGGCTCGCTGCGCTTCTTCTGGACCGACTACACCGAAGTCAATGGCAGTCTCTGTCTTTTCGGAAAAGTCAAGAACCGAAGGATGGGCGGATATGTATCCTGCTTCGTCAAGGTCGACAACATCCTGCGCAAGCTCTACTTCCTTCCGCGAGAACACCGCCAGAAAGGTGGCAAGGACACGACCGAAGAGATCGACTTCTCAGATGTGTATCAGGAAGTCGATCAGCTGATGACGAGAAACAAAGTGGCGATGCACAAGATCAAGGCTTCGACACGCAAGTATGCCTTTGAGCTTCCTGGCATTCCCAAGGAAGCTGAATACTTGAAGCTGCTTTACCCATATGACAAGCCCGCCATTTCTACTGACTACCGGGGCGAGACCTTTTCGCACGTGTTCGGCACCAATACAGCTTTATTCGAGCAGTTCGTGCTCTGGAAGAACATCATGGGTCCTTGCTGGCTCAGCATCGAAGGCGCAGACTTCAACGCGGTCAACAATGCATCTTGGTGCAAGCTCGAATTGCAGGTCAGCAGGCCTAAGGGTATCACCACTCTCGGCGAATCAGACAACCTCGAGGCTCCTCCTCTGACCATGATGTCAATGTCTCTCAGGACCACTTTCAACGCAAAGGAGAACAAGAACGAGATTCTGGTTGCGAGCTTGCGCTTCTATGAGAACATCTCCTTGACGGACACGACCCCTGCAGAGCAGCTTCCTAGCAGACTCTTCACCGTTATGCGACCGCTCGAAAAGGATTATCCGCAAGCGTTCAAGGCGCTCGTAGAACAACAAAAGCATCAGATTAAGCTGGAGCGGAGCGAGCAGGGCCTTCTCTCTATGCTTCTTGCCATCATTCAGCGACACGATCCGGATGCTATCATTGGCCACAAGCTGGACGATGTAGACTTTGGAATCCTGCTCAGCCGCATGCGTGATCGTAAAACTCCTGGCTGGCACCGTATCGGCAGGATGAAGCGTGGCGACTGGCCCAAGAACGTTGGCAAAGGTGGCGGCAGCTTCTTCGCCGAACGACATCTCGCGGCTGGACGTCTCCTGTGCGATCTCGCCAACGATATGGGTAAGAGCATCATGACTGCATGTCAATCCTGGAGTCTGGATGAAATGGTCTCTCTATATCTCGGCGGCAACTACATGCGCAAGGATATCGACAACGACAAAGCACTGTCCATGGCCACGTCAAAGGAAGGCTTGATGAACTATGTCAAGATGTGCGAGATCGATACCTTCTACACCGCTGCTCTTGCTTTCAAGAGACAGCTTCTGCCACTGACCAAGGTGCTTACGAATTTGGCGGGTAACTCATGGGCTCGAACATTGAGCGGTACGCGATCAGAGCGAAACGAGTACATTCTACTTCACGAATTTTATCGAAACAAATACATCTGTCCGGACAAAGTATGGGGCAAAGGTGCTCTCAAGAAGACGGAAGAAGCTGATGCCGAAGGCGAAGAGGGCGCTGACGCCAAGAAGAAAGACAAGTTCAAAGGAGGGCTCGTCTTCGAGCCAGAGAAGGGGCTTTACGACAAGTTCATCCTGGTCATGGACTTCAACTCGCTATATCCTTCTCTCATTCAAGAGTACAACATTTGCTTTACCACTGTCGACCGAAGCGATTTCGCCGAGGAAGATGATCGCGTTCCTGAGGTTCCGGAAGATACCTCTAACAAAGGTATTCTCCCAAGACTTATTCGAACCCTGGTCAGCCGGCGACGAGAGGTGAAGAAGCTCATGAAGGACAAGAGCGCCACTGAAGACCAACTTGCAACCTGGGATGTCAAGCAGATGGCCTTGAAGCTCACAGCAAACTCCATGTATGGTTGTCTGGGTTACACCAAATCTCGATTCTACGCCAGACCTCTCGCTGCCCTGACTACCTCGAAGGGTCGTGAAGTCCTGCAAGCGACGAAAGATCTTGCAGAATCAGCACATGCTCTCCGTGTCATCTACGGTGATACCGATTCCGTCATGGTCAACACCAATGTCGACAACATCCTCGATGCATTGAAGATGGGCAAGGAATTCCAGAAGAGCGTGAACGAGCGGTACGAGCTGCTTGAAATCGAGATCGATCACATCTTCAGGCGTCTGCTTCTGCATGCCAAGAAGAAGTACGCCGCGATCCAGATGGTTGACACTGGCGACAACACCTGGAAAGAGAAGCTCGATGTTAAAGGCTTGGATATGAAGCGAAGAGAGTACTGCCAGCTGTCCAAGGAAACCTCAAAGTAAGTTCCAGGTGTATCTGCCATTTGACATTTGCTAATAGTGGTTCAGGGAGTTGCTCAATCACCTTCTTTCTGGAGAGGAACCGGAAGTCGTCGTCTCAAAAATTCACGATCATCTTCGTCAACTTGGTGAGAAGATGCGCAACAAGGAGATTCCAGTGCACAAGTACACAATATACACGCAGCTCGGCAAGAACCCCAAAGACTATCCCAATGGTAGCACGATGCCGGCAGTGCAAGTTGCTCTGAAGCGCATGGCCAAGGGCAAACAAGTCCATGCAAAGGATGTGATGTCCTTTGTCATTTGTGGTGACAGCGAAGGCAAGCAGGAACACGCAGCCAAGAATGCTTACGACCTCGAGGATGTGCTTGCCAAGGACAGCGGACTGGCGCCGGATGTTGACTACTACCTCCACAAGCAGATCCTGCCGCCGGTCGAGCGTCTCTGCGCGCCTATCAGTGGCACGAATGTAACATTGCTGGCGGAATGTCTTGGCCTGGACACCAGCAAGTATCGTGTCTCTGGTGCTGCTAAGTCCTCGGAGCAGAGCAACGAAATCACTCGTTTGGAGTCTCAGATCCCAGATCACGTTCGATACAAGGATTGCGAGCCCTTGGATCTCTTGTGTCTGGGCTGCAAGCAGCACTTTGAGTACCGTGGCATGAACTACGAAGCAGATCCTGCGGAGACGCCTATCACACCTATCGGCACACTGACTAACGATGGCATCGCATGTCCAAGAGCAGAATGCAAGAAGCGCATGGCAACACTCTCCCTGACAGCGCAGCTGGAAACTCAGATTCGACGGCATACTGCCAGGTATTACTCTGCCTGGCTGAAGTGCGACGAGCCAACCTGCGGTATCCGGACTCGTCAAATCTCTGTCTATGGACATAGATGTCTTGGACCCAAAGGCCTTGCATACGGCTGCTCAGGGCGCATGTCTTTCGAATACAGCGAGAAGGCCTTGTATAATCAGCTGCTGTATCTGCAGTCGATCTTTGATGTCGACAAGTCTTTGGAGAAGATGGGTGCCGGCGGACTTGTGAAGCCTGAGTATGAATTGAAGGAGAAGGCGAAAGTGCTAGCGGGTATGAACAGAGACCGCTTCGCGGTATGTTGGGATGTGGTCAAGGCGTATTTGGATAAATCTGGATGGGGTTGGGTCAGTATGGACTCATTGTTTGGATTTGCGATGAAGCAGGTTGCATAGGCTCTGCATGGTGTAATCCATTTTATGATAAGTGAATATGTTCTGCTGCAACGGCAGTATTGAATGAAAGCGATATCTACCCTAGCCGCCTCCCTGGTGCGGTGGTCTCCAGCGTGGCTTGCAACATCTTTTTCCTTGCAATACGACGTTGGATCCGGATCTTCTTGCTTCGACGCACCTACAATATCGATTTCTTGTTCTTTAAGCGGGTCTGTCAAACAACGGTCTGGGCGGCCTCTTTCATGCCGAGAGCTGCACCGTCAATACATTGGTACATGCGCCTCAACCCCGGCCCTATGCACGATACCGCCTTCCCGCCTCCTCGAGTCTGCTTAGCTTGGACGCCTTCTATGCCTGCGGGATACCGCCAAAGATGAGCTGTGTCAGCGCTTCTTCGACGAGGCAGGATGTTCAGCCTTGCGGGAGGATATTTATTCTCTTCGTTGTCCTGCAATCCCGCTCTTCCATCACCTTGACAGGAAGAACAGGCGACCGAACCTTTTTGTCACGACATTCAAAGCTTGTTCTTGTCCTGGCCTGCCTGGAACTCGGTCTCTCGTCAACGATGGCTGCCTCTGCGTAGCAACAAATTGCGAGCTTTCATGAACGAGAGGACAGGAATGAAAGGCACGACCCTGCTTTGGCCACGCAAAAACAGTCTCCTCTCGCTCAGCTATGCGACGTACTCGATCGACTACGAAGCCTTTCCATGTGTGACGGGCTGGATGTCGCAAAAGAAGAGTTTTCAACGTTCTTCGTGGTGAATCATCATCAACCTCAAGCACTGACGCAGCACGTTCAGGCTGTGGAAGCTGCTCGACTGTCCTTGATCCACCTGGAGTCCAATCAGATCGCGCCAGCTGAGCTCGTGTGGACGCATAATCAAAGAATTGTTCCGCTCCTTGACAGTCTATTGCCGGAAGACGACAGTGCATCAGTAAAGCCTGCCGAGGGTGGAGCTCTGACTGTGAGAATGGCTTATCTTGCTCACCTGAAACTCATTGGATACGCAATCGCCAACAACTTCTCTGGAATGGACGACTCAACTTCGCGAGACCTGACCTATAGATTCCTTCGAAGTGTGCTATGCCCGATACTTGGAGGCCAGAGCATTGACTTGCGGCTGAAAAGAGACATCTCACAGCTGGCTCTACTCAAGCCCGTCGCTGAGACTCTCTTTCGAGGTGCCGTTGAGGATGGCGATGCTACTGCTGTCAGCCATGTCTTAAGCTGGCCAGGTGTTGAGATTGACGTAGATAAGACGCTTTGTACCCTGAATGGATCCTCCCTTGCTCCAATAGAAGCTGCTGCTTCCCTTGGCAACCTTCAAATTGTCCAAGTGCTATTGCATCACAATGCAGATATCAATATATCCACCGATAGTGTATCCACGGGACCTGGGAATAATTGCAAGTGCTCGATGAGGTAAATATTCTAGGCTGCGCCTTGACTCGCGCATGTAAAAGCGACAATATTACCATAGCCCGCAAGTTGCTAGAGTCTGGTGCTTCCACGGCTCGAGATGGCTACACAGCCGTGATGGGCTTTGAACATGATCCAATGTTTTCAGCGCCTTGCCTATGCCCATCAAGACAATGAGATTATCTACTTTGAGAGACCAGACATTCTCGATCGCGAAATTCAGAGTAGAGATGAAGAGCCTTTGACGTTCCTCATAGAATGCGGGCTCGATTTAGATGGACCTACTCTGGATCGTCACACCGAGACACATCCTGGTGGGACCCATCAATGTCACATTTGTGGCTCTGAGCATAGTCGGAGAGATGTCTTGCTCAAGCATATGCGAGATGAGCACCCTCCTGATGCACAGTCATGATGCGAGTAGAATATCCGAGAAGGCGCACACTCTTAGGTTTGGGATTTTGAGCATATGGTAACTAGCGCAGGGCATGCAAGCAATCCAATATCTAAACAATCCGATCCACCACTTTCCTGATCGACCTGCCTAACATTACAACAGCACACCCCTCAAACCCCCATCTGCCTCAACGTCTCAATCTGCGCATTGACCTGGGCAATAGCCCGGTTTATATTGTTGCGTACATTCATGATGACCGGACCGGTCGAGGAACGAGTTGACTTTTGTTGCATATCAGCCATAATATTTCTAAAAAAAAAAAATTCTGGTGCTCGGACAGTTCGTACTGGCTCGATTGGTAGATTTTCAGCTGTGCTTGCAAATTCTTGATTTGCCCGATCAGGGCATTTCTTCGTCGTAGGGATGCTTCTTCCATTTGGGCTGCTTGTGCGCGCGCGTTGCCTCTGTTGTTGTTGGAGTTTTCCTGGTAGGGGGTTGTTGGGAGAGTGGATGATATTTGGGAGTTGTCTACCTACCTACTGCAGCGGGGCGTAGCAAGCAAGCATCAGGGCCCATCGGCAAGAGACGAATATGCGGCCAGGTGCAGGTTATTTGCTTGGATGTGCCCTGATTCTATTCTGACCGTTTGTTTATTCACATCTTTCTGTGATGTAGCTTGCTTGAGGCGGCCTCAGAACATTGAATTCGGCAAGGATTGGAGCTGAAAAGCTGCTCGGCCTCAAAATATGCAATAGACATCGTTGGTTATTACCTGATATACTGCTACATCTGTGTGCGGTACAGGGCCGTAGAAGAGTCCGTCCCATCCCATCCCACATGAGCACGTCTGTAACACTTAATCGTAGCCACGACCAGATTCGGCAGCCTCTCATCTCAACGTCAAGCACCACATGATGGACAGCGCATTTGCCCAGCGCCTCCACATCCTCCGCACATGACCCGTCTTGTCCCTTGGCATCTTGCGCACTGCATCCAAGGTGGCGTGGTCGCACACCATGGACACTCCACCAACGCTGCGATCATCCCTTGACCTCCGCAATTCCCACATGTTGAAACTCCAGAGTTGTTGCAACGATTGCACTATGACGCTGATCAGTCAGGCACGGAAGGCAGTATACCGTCACTCGAATAGCATACAAATCGTTCGTTGGTGCGGATTCCGAAAGGCTGATGGTGATCACCGTGATGACTGGGTTTGGCTTTATGTGTTATGATGTGGATGGAAAGTGAGACTCGAGGTTGTTGCTTCTGACCAAAGATGGCACTTTGTACGAAGGACTGCTGTAGCTGTTGTAGCGTGACCCTCACGACCGGTGAAGAGGAGGCTGAGAGGCGACTGGGCTGATTGGTTGCCTTCGTCGGGCCTGTGATTGTCGTGAAGGAAGCTTTATTGGTCATGATCTGATGAAGTAGATAGTACTGGTGGGGTTCGAAAGTGTTGTCGCTGGAAAGGTAGTGCCGCGGCCCTGGTGCAGGAACATGGCAGTAAGTACTTTCGGAGCTGGTCGCTTCGCCAGATGTCGAAGGATCGTCGTAGCCTTGACCACACTCATCGATCTCAGATCATGATCTTGGAAGTCTATGTCCACAATGAAGTTTTGTGTACCCGACGAGGCTCCATTCTTGGAATCAGTCCGAATGCTCGAGAGATCGGGCGGAGCATCAGAGTCGAACCGATGCAGGAAGTCTTGTCCAATAGGTCTCACGGCTGCGATGCACCCAGATTTTGCTCCTTGCTTTGTGTGCATGTGGCTCGGCAAGAAAACACACCTAATGTGCTGCAGATGGTAGATAGTGCCTAGACCAGAAGCCTTCGCCAGTACTAGAAAAGAGAAATGGATATCTCTTTGCTCTCTCGAGCACCAACGAAATGCCAGCTGATTCTCACGCAGCAATATCCTCAATCCTCAACAACCCATCCGCCATCCCTGCCGCAGCCCATCCCCCCACATGCAAATTCGGATTCCAAGCGAGTGCGGTGATCGCAGACTGTTCCTCATAGATCGTCTTAAAGAACACACCATTCTTTGAAGTTTGAGAAGACTTCGGGTCAAGAGAGATTTTTTCCGCTTTGAAGCCTTCCGAGATGCGCGAGAGACCGGATTTGCCAAGTCCAACAGCCTGCTCTTGACGGCCTTCGGCAGCGTTTCGTTCCTCCTCGCTTGGACGTCTCCACTCGTGTCGAAACCAGTCTTGTTGCCACATGGCTATTTTTCCTCCATCTACAACTCGTCTGAGTGGGTTGTTGCCAGAAACTTCACCGCCGGCCGAGCCCAGTAGTACGAATGGATGACAGGGACTGGAAGCCATACATGTAGACGCACTCCTCAACCTGCCAAGGCCAATCGTGCTAAACCATCTTCGAAGTGGAAACGCTTTTAGGATCAGGTTGTCCTCGACAACGAGAGCACATTTGCAATGCTCCAGCCATGATAGCGTATTGTGCCCGACGCGCACACGAGGGGCTACAGCAGTGGCGCTTGGATCTTGGAATGGTTGGGAAATGTCTGTCAGTAAGGTGTGACCGGTGGCGGAAGTTGTGATGAGCATGTTCGGGAGCGATGGCCAGGCTGTAGCTATGGCGAGAATGTAAGATGTGGTGACACTGGCGTATGATGTGGGTCGAGGATTAGGATGGATCTTGGTCATACTTTCGGCAAGATCCCAGATAGCGACACAGCCGTTCGCACATCCAGCGATGAGACGCCGAGAGTCAAGCCAGGCCATGCACGTGCACACTGTATCTGGAGGTTTGCTTTCGAAGGCAAATGTATCGATCAAACGGTAGGTGGTCTCATCTTCCGTGGGCCTTTCCACATCAATGACACGGATTGAGCCATCGAAGGATACACAGGCCAATAGACCGAGGGAATCCATGCCAGTTGCGGGTACCGGGCACCACTTCAGCACTTTGACATCACCCATTTCTGCTCCTATCACGAGCGATAGTTTTGGCGGCACGCTGCTGTCAATGTGACCAGCCTCACTCGCGCTGAGTTCCCATATCTGGATACTCGACAAGTGCTGTGGATGTGGTGCGAATGCAGGTGCTTCCGGCGTCTCATCAGACGGTCGCGTGGGCAGGACGCTGATTGCAATGTATTGCTTACTCCCAGGCTGGTTCGGCACCCAGTCCAGACAATGTACTCTCGCGCCTAGATTTAACAAGAAACCACTCTTGTACTCGGCAGGCCTGACTTCCTTCCATTTCTGACCTGGTTCGGGGTCCTTCCGGAATGGTTCGTGCAGTGGCAAAGACTCGCGAGGCTGCAGAGTATGCAGCTTCTGCTGATTCACTGCTCCCATCAAAAAGTGTCGCTCGTTTGAAACATCCACGGGCATGTAGTCTTGCGCATCTTGCTCACCCATGGTGCTGATTTGCTGGCGTTGCGAAAACCATTCTTTCCCACCGTCGTTGCTGTACCATTTCCAATTCTTCTGGGACTCCTTAATGGCTTTCTCATACGCTACGCTGTACGAAAATCCGCCAGCCCCGGACTTGCTCGCCTTTCGACTGGGAAAGCATATCTCAGCGCCCCACCTCGCTCTCGCCTTCATCAAAATGTCCGCATCAAATTCGCCCGTACCAAAGAAGTACTTTCGCCTTTCCTTCTTCGTGAGCCTGTTATGAATGTTGTCCGGTGTTCCTCGAGTGAAGGGCCGTTGGTTTTCTGGTATTGCGAGCCGTTTGGCCTTTCGTGTCGGCTTTTTTGCTGGGGGTTCAGGATCTGAGGCTATTGACATGTCGTCGTCCAGCTCGCGCTCGCCGACATGGCTGGCTTTTTCGCTGACATGATCCAATTCGCGCTCAACTCCAGACATGACATCGTCGTCTTCAGTCTCTGAAGGCTCAGCGCCTGCCTCAAATTCGTCTGCATCTTGGTCAAGGGCATCTGGTATCTCTTCATCTGAAGCCTCAGACTCAGACGCAAGCTCCTCGATGCCCTCGAAAGCATCGATGGTGTAACGCTTGCGAGGCGTATTCTTGTTCGAAGAGCGTAGACTAGCCATCACGCACTGCGATGATTGAGAAGTGTATGAAAGGATTTCGGGTACTTAGCCTCATATATGCAGGTACCGGAAATCCGACGCGAAACTCACACGCCACGCCTTGTGCTGGGTCGCTGCTGAAGCTTTTCTGCGCAGAATATCATTGTTGGCGCAGAATGCGTAATTCCGAGCTTGCACACATTGCACAGGTGCTTTGCTTTACTTCCGAGAAGCGTGTTGGTGGTGTCCGGAGTGAAGAAGTGAGGTCGAAAGATGCTTTCACCTTTCCGGCAACTCCATCTTGGCTTCCGCCAAGACCCTGGCGCGTCGAGGGAGAGGAGAAGTCGGCAGCCGGATTGTCTGGAAGCATTCCACTCAAACATGCATCATGCGACAAAATAGACTGCTGGGAGGGTGTCTGATACCTCTAGCATGGTCCATCATCTTCTTTGGTGGGCTGGCCAATGCCAGTATAGGTGACAGGTTGCCAGAATTCCGGCAATGTCTCCAGGCGAGTGCAAATCCATCCAGACGCCATGCTCAGCACAATATGCGAAAAGGTGCTGATCCAACCACCAGGACTGCGAAAAGGCAAATTGTGGTGCAGATGGACCTGCAATATGTATGTACTTTCACGAAGATATGCTTGCACATCAGGATCTGACATGGTTTCCAGCACTCCATCATAAACTCCTCCTATGGAACTGCCCATCAGAATGCGATTACACATGCCAACACATCGTCACCGATCAACGCCTCGCCCGTGATCCACCCTACCTCGAACCCGTCGTCCAATTCCACGGCAAATGGCCATTCTATCGATTCCTCGGGATGCAAGAGCCAGCCTCCGTTCTCTTCAGCCTGCTGAACTTCCTGGCTCATGACTGGGGCATGAAATCCATACGAGAAAACATACCCGCGAGATACCCTTTACGAAAGTACTACTTGGCATTTGGATACTTTGGATTGGCGAGCTGGGTGTTTAGTATGCTCTTCCACACTCGGGACTTTGGCGTGACGGAAAAGTTGGACTATTTCGCGGCGGGAGCAAGCGTCATGTATGGCATGTTCTACACACCCATCAGAATCTTCCGGCTGGATCGCACGGAAACGCTGGGTCCGAGCAAGACGGGTACTGTGCTGAGATTGTGGACGCTGCTGTGCGCAACTGCATATCTCGGTCATGTGTCGTACTTGGCATTCTGGAGGTTCGACTACACCTACAACATGGCGGCAAATGTGGTGGTGGGGTTGATTCAAAATGTGCTGTGGACATGGTTCTCCGTACAGAGGTTTAGGAAAGTCGGGAGGCTGTGGGCGGCTTGGCCTGGTCTGATAGTGTTCTGGATCCTGTTCGCAATGAGCCTGGAGTTATTTGACTTTCCGCCGTGGAAGGGAATGGTGGATGCACATGCGCTGTGGCATCTGGGCACTGTTGGGCCTACGATATGGTGGTATAGATTCTTGGTGAAGGACGCAACGGAGGATCTGCAGAGTCAGAGGTTGAAGCAGTAGCGTTGTCAGCTGTAACACTGCGCCAATGCATGGGAACATATTACACTGCCAGCTCTGGAGTCTTCGTCTTCCCTGTCAGCGCATCATCTCTTGCTACGCAGGACAACCGTACGGCATCAGCGAGCACTCACTATCGCCCATGTTGTGCGATTCCCGTGAAGAGAAACTTGATTGGGTATGTATGTCGAGGAAACATGATCGCGTGGAGGCAGGCTGTGCATCGAGGCCGCCAATCTCGGCCGAGATCTTGCATGATATGCTGTGATGGAAAAGAGTCTGCTGAAACCAGCCGGGGATGAATACTAAGCGCTCTCTATTAGGTATATAAGACTAGAACATTACGACTACGGCGCATTATTTCCAGTCCACAACTTTCCAATCCACTCACTCGATTACCCCCCACCCCAGCGGTAATCCATCTCTTACACGTACTCAACACACATGGCCGGTGAGCGGAGATCCATTACGTCCGCAATTGTGGCATTTGGAACAATTCCAGCCATGAACAGAACATGCTTCAAAGTCGTAGTCGGACCATCGTCACCACAGTATTGGGTGAATTCTGGGCCAGGGGTTTGCCATCCATTCTGCCTGTTGAAGTCGTCGCCTGGGGTGTTCGGTCGGCCCATCTCGGTGAGTCGAGTGCCGAGATCGGCTTGCTGCCATGACCACCAGAGACGATCGAGGTTGGTGTGGTGGAGGAAGAAAACAGGATCGGCAGGCGCGAGCAAAGCATTCGCCATCTGAGAAGCGTCAGTATTGCTTGCCGCAAGTCAAGTTTGGAGGGATCATACCACTTTTCCAACGCCGTTGTGACCTGCGAGATGCACCCAATTTTCGTAGCATGAGCTCGCACTTGCCCAGTTTCCTTCATTGAAGCACTCGTCCACGTTGGACTGCTTTGCGCCGGAGAATTCTTCTTGATTGAAAGATCGAGATATGCAGTAAGGTTCGGCGGGTTGGAAGGTGTCGTTGTATATCATTGAAAAGTTTTTGAAGGGTCCACTTGTTATGCACTGGTCGCTGCCCTCGCCATTGCCGCCCATGCCGTAGGTGTTGTCCCAGACGGCAGAGCCGGCGAGATTATTGGCGTCCGCGGCTTCATCCCAGTATCTAGGACTCGATCAGCATTGCTGTCAAGACATGTATCGAAGGCAGACTGACGGCAGGCCTGCATTGTATCCGCAGTGTCTTGAGGCAAGAGTCTCAAAGGCTTTGATGTAATATCGGTGCCATGGCAAAAATGCCGCAACACCATGAATAAAGTTTTGGTTTCGAATGTGAGCAAACTGGATCTCGTCCCAAAGGTTCTGAGCTCCAGCAAGGCCGGCCTGTGGCGGAGTCCTCGCAAGGCATCTAAGTGAACGCAGAGGTCTTAGCACGGGATTGCAGATGGGTATGTTGGAGGGGATTCGCCCACGCAAGTCATTCTTCAAGACTCGCCGGGACTGACGAGGCACAGAAAACTGCACATCACTCAGAACAGCCGTTCTCCTCGAAACAGATGCGATTTCCGAGTTGACTTACTGTACGGCGTTGATATACGCCATCTTGTCATCGTTGCTGAGTGCAGTCCTTCATGGCATGTCAGCAGGTCGAACTTGCCTCGGCCGCAAGAAGTCGGCGCATACCACGATCGCCTGCGCACAGGATTGGAGCAGGTCTGCCTTCTCTCAGGGAGGGATCTCGCAGGCACGGAAGCAGCGAAGAATACAACGATGCATCTCGACAACGTCCACATGATGCTGTCAACTGCACGGCCCGTATAAACGTGGCCCGGGGGAAGAATCAAAAAGAATTAGAGTGAGTGTGTAAAGATGTCCCAACAACAGCGACGGGAAAGGCTGTTGAGGAGGAAGAGGCAATACATACGAGCGCGAGAGCTCCGGTGCGCGTCACTGCCTTTGGCCGATTAGCACGGCAAGAACGCACCACAACATATCGACGATGCAGGCGAGGCAGTAGTCGGAAGGTGCGATGGTGTCAGGTACACTCGCACAGCGGTTTGCTCTCCCGCGTTCGTGGCACCAGAAGGTTTTGGGTAGAATAAGTCAACGGGCAGAAGTAACCAGAGAATTCTGCTCAAGCTGATTTGAAGAGCCAATTTTGCGGCCAGCGGAGTTCGGCGGAGGCCCCCCATGAGCGCCATGATAATATGATGTTTGGTGTTGGTTATCAATCTTGACGAGGACGTTGCCAGATACTGGTGTTCGTGTCTCAAGCCATTGCCCTTTGATTGCACTGTGGCGATGCGGCTATGTTCACGCGACGTTTCGTGCTTCCTGCGAGATGAGGTTAGTTGGGTGTGGCGCTGTCTGGAAGCGCGAGGGCCGTTTGCAGCAGTCATGGCGACGGCGACGGCGACAGCGAGTCTATCTCGACGAGAGCAGAGGTCAGCAGGAGTTGTTGAACAAGGCAAGGCGAAGAAGTCCATCAAGTCCCGCAATATAGCCGCCTCTTCTCCCCGCCAAGACAGACACTAGCGCGCCGAAGTGAAACACCAATCAGCGGCACCTTGCCAAGCTTCTCAACATCCAGCCTTCATGGGACTGGGAAACCGTGATCAACGACTCACTCCGCTTGGCAACAGCAGAGATTGATATTTCGATGCTCGGCCATCACTTCTGCATTCTCGTCAACACGATACAGAAGTGCCTTGCCGGCATTTCCTCCTCCCTGCTGTCCATCCCGTCCTTGACCACCGTACCCGCTGCTATCCTCCATATCCCCCATATCCTCCCATTCCCCCATATCCTCCCATTCCTCCCATTCCTCCCATTCCTCCCATTCCTGCCATTCCTCTATACCCCCCATATCCTGCCATTCCTCCATACCCCCCATATCATCCCGTTCCTCCATACCCTCCATATCCTCCCGTTCCTCCATACCCCCCATATCCTCCCGTTCCTCCCGTTCCTCTCATTCCTCCCATTCCTCTATATCCCCCCATTCCTCCCATACCCCCCATTCCCCTTATTCCTCCCATTCCTCCATATCCCCCATATCCCCCCATTGCTCCCATTCCTCCATATCCTCCATATCCTCCCATGCCTCCCATGCCTCTCATTCCTCCCATGCCTCTCATGCCTCCCATGCCTCCCATTCCTCCATATCCTCCCATGCTTCCCATTGCTCCATACCCTCCATACCCCCCATATCCTCCTCCACCTAGACCTTGCATGCCGCCAAGTCCTCCCCCGCGAGATCCATATGAGGCGCCATAGCCAGAGCTGTAGCCCGAAAAGCCATTGCCAGAGTGAGGCTGATAGAAGCTATATCCTTGACCACCGCCAGGTAGATTAAAGCTGCGGAAGCCGTTGTTGCTAAACATTTTGGTATTCGTTGAAGCCTGTGATTGATGTTTCTTGACCAGTCTTTGATGTCAGTGTGTGTGTGCTCCGCGGCTGAGTTGTCGTAGGTCGATGTTGGAGTTGGAGACCTAAGGCGAAGTTGACGGTTTATACTCAATGTAGAATCCCTTCACCGATGACTATGGTGGTGGCGGCAGGCGGCTTTGCTTGATGGAATGATTGCTTCACAGTGCTGTACTCTCATGCCTATAGGGCAGATTTGGTTGTATGACTGATCGCCATTATCGCGCACTAGGCTGGATCCCCAGAATGCTGGTCGGTGGGTGCTCTTTGGCCACAATCGTTCGTGTATGATCAGTCGTGGCTTTTGATGCCGAGGGCGTCCTTCAACTACGCCAAGTGAGAAGCGAAGAAGGGATGGATTGTAGAGTATTTCGGATGTTAGTTGGCAAACCTTGGGGCTCTGTTGACGCTCTGCCTTGGGCAAGAGACTACTGTAGCCATGATCCGCTCTCGAATCGGCCAGGTGAGACGCATAGCCCGAGACCAGCCATGCTGTTGACAACAATCCTCCGTCAATAATGCTCCCGTCCTATGCCTACGCCGTCGCGCTTAATCCTTCTTCAGAAGCCGACGAACGGATAGCTTCGGATGGTCATTCGGATAGCAGCACATGTTCTGCTGTGGCCGATGGTCGTGGGCATTCATGCATGTCTTGCTTGCATGAAGTTGACGTGAGAAATGGAGGTGGGGGTGGTCCCGGTGGTGCATAGGCGAAGCTGCCGGGTGAGACTCAACAGCAATTGACGAAGATTTGATAAGCAAAATTGATTGACCGAATTCCGCCAACATTTTCATCTCCGGTCAGCTACAGCGTCAAACAAACATTCCTTCTTATACACACACCTATTCTCAAACGTACACGATCATGTCACGATCAATGCGCCCCTTATCTCGCCGCCTCTTGAGCCTTCAATGCCGCCGCTATCAGTCGACGGAAGCTTCGGACAAGCCAGTGCACTCGCGCGAGCAGGTGCAGGACCTCCTCCATGAACAAGATGATCTATACCTTGCTGCGGTAAAGCGAAAAGTCGAAAGCATCAAACGTCAGTCGAGGAATATTGGTATGATTGCGTCGAAAATAACCAATGAGGGCGGATATATTCAGATCAATCCATCCATTCCAACATACAAAGCAGCGCCATGGCAGAAACAAAGCCAAGCCTACGAAAGTCTGGTGGAAAGAATGTTGAAGCAGACTGAACGCATACTTCTTAATGTGGGCGATCTTCAGACTGAGAGTTATCCTTCAGATTTCGATATTGGAGGTGATAGAGCAAGTGTGGCCGCTCTTGTGAAACATGATCGTGACAAAATGCTACGGCAGACACGCCCGGAGCAGATGGATGCTTTGGTTGAGTTACGGAACCACGAGTTGGCGCATAGAAGGAGATTTAAAGAGGGACTTGATTCATTCGCAAAGGAGGTGGAGAACTACAGGTTGGACACTCAAAAGACGCCGATGCCGAATTTGGGCATGGAGAGAAAGTCGCTGAAAGAGAATGTCAACGAAGCAAGAGATGATAGCTAGAAACCCATGCAGGATAATGAAGGCTGGGGATCACCTACGAAAGTCACCAAGATTGGTTCAACGCCAACATTGCAGAAGGTGAGCAACCCTTTCGACACGTCGAGCTCGAAGGATCCTGCGCGGAAATCTTCTGATCAGAACACTGCTCGACCTTCGACTGCGGATCAAGAAAATACGCGTGTATCAGCGAACACTGCGTCAACGGCAACCAACTCTTCCGTAAGCGAGCGTAAAGTAGACACAGGTGCTCTAGGGAATGCAGACGCATCCACGTCCTCATCGAAGCAAAACTCGCAGGACGACGAGGGCAGATCGGCACAGGGGCTTGAAAATGGCTCGACAAGCAAAGCAAAGGCCCCAAGGCCCAGGACGAGCCTGCTGGGCCTGCAACGGCAGCTCGAGATATCAAGATAGTGGAGACTCGTCAACGAAGACACGGCTCGATCTCTGCAGTCCACATAGCTGGCAGAACAGAACGTCAGGCCGTCAGAGATTTCGCAATGCCTTTGTCCCGTCCAGGATGGTGAACGCAAATGAAGTGAATGCTCGCAGGTGAACGAGTTGCCAACGTAACTCTTCTTGCAAGCTGAGCTATAAACCCTTTTCCCTCGTCGCAAACCTCTTTCTCTTACCATCGCGAAGACCAACCACCAGAGTCATTAGAACTACCTCAGTCGTACTGCCACTGATCTGAATTCATTGACTTCGAAGCGAACAGCGCGACCAAACATCGAGATGACTCGAACTCATTTCTACGACCTGCCCAACGAGGTCAAGCTTGCGATATTGGCCAACTTGCCAGCCAGAGAGATTCAGCGCGCTCGTCGAGTCTCTCGGCATCTTCGAGACCTCATCGACCTCGAAGCGAACCGCACTCTCCTGATCAACCCACTTCCGCCGAGCGTGGTGTCCATCAAGGAAGCATGTAACTTCCTGATTGATTTCGATGTCCAGAATGTCGACCTTCTGACGCTTTTGGCGCGAGTGGTGCAGCATCGTCGCACTGGAAGCCACGCCTGCTCAATCACGGCCAGGCTGTGGACACACAGACATGATATTGCTGGTTCTCATCTGCGCCACCACTTGGCAGGACTGCTCGACAAATTCCGACGTCTACACAACGAGTTTCATGCCTCCTCCAAGGACGGAGACGACGGATCTGCACCTCCCGCGAATCTTCTGCGCAGACTGTACGATCGCCTTCGGCGCCGACTAGGTGGCCGCACTGCCAATCGAGTCGGCGCAAGCCCTGCAGGTCCTTCAGCGAACTTCGCCACCATGACTGCCTTCAACCACTACATTACGTCTATCCACGGCGCGGTACTTCCCAGCTTAAATCTCAGTCAAAACCAGATCGACGACTTCTACCTCCGCGTCGTGGTTCACGGAGTCCCGAGTCGCGATGAAGAGACCCCTCACGTCGGATGGGTCATCAACCTTGACTCCGAACCCGATGCTCTCGGACTCCATCACCAGATCTGCGATCTGCTTGGACTGCCCGCACTCCCACCGCCTCTTCTGGCTCCGCATTCGTTGCAGTATGCCGTCAAGAGCCGCTGGGCCTGCGAAAAGCTCAGGGCATACGTCAATGAAGGAGAAAGGGAAATTACGGAGTTGCAAACCGCGGCGCTTAGGGAAGAGATGTTTTTGTATTGATTGAAGGGCGAGGTTGGGAAATGTGATCGATCGTCAGCTGCCGGTGTTCACGCCATGTTAGAGAGATAATAGGTACAGGGAGCCTTGTTTTGCACTCACAATGGCAAACTTACTGAAGGGGAAAAGTACCAAAAGGTGATTAATGAACCAAACGATAGCCTCCGCTCTAGAACACATGAATTTCAGCCCAGGGAGCAGCAGCAGGCAGAAGACCTCAAGTAGCAGCAGCAGCAGTGTCGAGCTAAGGTTTCAGAAGACTTGGAAAAACAGATTGTGAAATCGTTTGCATTTATGCTTCGTTCGCATGGCGCTTTGCAGCAAGCTATGTAGTTCTTGAAAAGCAGAAAACTCCACCATTCTTATTCTCATAATTCCAAGATGTGTTCCGTTCGTGGCCACATAGCACCTCAGCCTCTAGGTGCGTGCAATCACCTCTCCACCCCTAATACTCCTATGCCTCTCCAGCACCACCTACGACTGCGCTCTGGGCAGCAGTAGAAGGATAGAAGAAAGCAGCCACTGCAATGATGACATAAGCTGCAATCAACAAGCTTCCTTCCAGGTAGTTGCTTCGGCCATCGAGCACCAGGAAGTTTACCACAAAGACCGTGACAAAGAGACTGATAGTCTCAAAGAGGTTGAAGTAAAGACTCATGCTGGTGTTCAAGATCCAGCCCAGGAGGACAACGACGGGCGTGACGAAGAGTGCAATCTGAATCGAAGAGCCGACAGCAACACCGATAGCAAGATCCATTTTGTTCTTCGCAGCAACTGTCACAGCTGTGACGTGCTCTGCTGCATTGCCAACGATGGGAAGGATGATCAGACCAATGAAGGCTTCTGAGACTGGCGAGTCGGCGATCATAATCGGGATGGCGTCGACCATGAATTCAGCGCAGACAGCGACTAGAGCAGTGGAGCCGAGGAGGAGGACGACAGCAGCGGTGCGCGACATTTGGTAGCCATCCTCTTCATCGTCCTTCTGCGATCCGGAAGGCACGCCAGAGGCGTTGGAAGCGGACTTGGTCAGGCGCTGATGCTGAAATGGCGGAAGAGGATCTTGGCGCGTGATGGTACTATTGGCAGGAACAGGATTCGAATGACGCTCATTCAGCCGATCCGGCAAGGAGTTTGTACGGCGTAGACGACCAGCCGAAATAGAGCGGACGGGGCCGACTGGACGCATGGGACCTAGCGCGGGCGAAGCTCCAGGCTGAGTATAGTTGGCAGAGAAAACGTTGTTGCTGAGGTAGGTGGGCAGAGCTGGTCGATATCGCGATGAAAGCTGGCGCACATTAAGCCCCAGTTTGCTCGGTGAATCTCGAATCTCGTCCTGGGCTGGAGCTTCGGCGGTCTCCACATCGGCAACAGCTTTCTCGGCATCAGCCTCATCTTTACGATGACGGCGCTTCTTGTCCTTCTTCCTGGTGTGCTTCCTGCGGTTGAGCGGCTCAGGAGACTTGGAGCCGCTGTTGCTGCCCTTGCGCTTGGTGGCCCAGTCAAATACTCTGGTAATCCCGTTGTCCTCTTTATCCGCATCAGCATCTTCGCCGTTGTGGACAGGGGCCAAGGTTGATTCGCGACGAGAGCCTGGGTGACTTGGATCTCTGAAGTAGTCGGTCTGCTTTTCGGTAGATGGTGAGCTGACGACTGATGGCAGGTTTGATGTGGTACGAGTGCTGCTGGTAGAAGCACTAGACTTGCGACGCGTCCTGTGCCTAAGCATTCGCTTCACACGCTTACTAGCGGTGGCGATGGAACCGGAAGCCGAGGAGTCAGAGTCTGACGAGCTGGACGAGCTTGAGCTGTCAGACGAAGAAGACGAATTCATCATGTCGTGTAGCATTCCTGGATGTGACTCCTCATCGATGATTTCCTGTGGTGTACTTTCGTACATGTAGGCGTGAGATTTGAGCTGGAAGAGAAGGTACAGAATGTAGACAACGAGCAGCACAACACTGGTGCCTCGGCTGACTTTGAGAACCTGGTGGTCTGCTTGCTTCAAACTCTCATCGTTGAAGGAAGCGTGGAATGCAGTCTAAGAAATGATTAGCTGGGCCGACAAGGTTGAATGAGATCGGCACTTACGGGAAGCAGAAGACTCATGACACTCAAACTGAGCAGACAGGCGCTCATTTGCGTGACAGTGCTGTTGTAGATTTGCTCTCGGAAGCGAAGACCACCCAGGAGGAAGGCCATGCCTAGGATGAGGAGCAAATTGGCCAAAATGGAGCCGAGAAGGGAGGCCTGGACGATGCGAATCTCATCTTTGACCAGTGCAATGATGAAAATGATGAGCTCCACTGCGTTTCCGAAGGAAACATTCAGCAGTGCACCCCATGTGTCGCCAAGTCTGCTTGCCACGCTCTCGGTAGCATGACTGAGAAGTCCAGCAAGTGGGACGATGGCGACTGCGTTGATGGCGAAGATGACAGATGGGTTCAAGTTCGCCGCCTCAGCTGCAATACCTGCAGGAACGGCAATAAGGAGAACATTGACCCAGCTGTGGCAAACAGCATTCTTCAGATGAACGCCAAATCGTTTCGTGCCATTCTTCATGCGCGTTGGTATAGGTGGTTTCTTCCTGTCTTCAGTCGTCGCTATGGCGGAATCTCCCTGGCCCTCAGTTTGGGATTCGAGCGGGGGTGGAGGAGCGGGAGATGCCGACTGAGATATCGAGTCGACCTTGTTGTTCTGCGTGGACTTCTCAGAGTCACGTCCACCACCGTCTCGGACTCCATCCAGTCCATGCTGATGTCTGCCATTGTCTGACGCCTTGTCTTGGGTGTCTGCCGAGGGAGACTCCGCTCCACCTCTAGTGCTTAGCCCGCCAGCTTCGGTGTTCTTGGTCGGCTTGGCCGCGTTTGCTTGATCTGGAAAGGGAAATGCTGTGTTGCTTCCGACACGCTGGAGATTTCGGTTCGAGGCAGTTCGTTGGGCGTGGGCGCGGGCGCGGTACCGATCTTTGATAAGAGTAAGTAAAGGGTTTCCCATTCGCGTATCGCAGCTCCAGTCGGGGGAGGATTGTTGGAGAAGGAAGAGGAACGAGGCCAGGGGCAAGAGACGAAGTCGACGTTCAATGTCTCACGTGCCATCGCCTCAGCCACAGTTCGAAGTGGACCCATGACCCATGCTGCTTACCGGTACAGTAGTTCTAGTGCAAGGGCGGACCGGGGGTGAATGTGTGGTGAGACTTACGCATATCAGTATTCGCGTATTCGCCGAGAAACTCGCAAGGTCTGTGGGCAGTGCGTGTCTTGGAGCAAGAAGTCGAGCGTGATGAACGCGTTGGAATGTAGCAAGACACACAGGAGCGAGGCGTTGTTCTGTCTTGATCGTCCAGCTGTCGGTATGCAAGATTCGCAGTAGCCGCCGCCTTGGCTTCACTAAAGCGTCACCACACAGCTGGAGCAGCAATGAACCTGGCACAGAACTCCACCACATCGTCATAGCCACACCAGATACCGGATCGGAACAGGCACAGCTTGCGCCGCTTTCTGCCTATACTGACGCCTCTCTCCCTCATCACCGCCACCAAAACGAATGAAATTCATACACCTGGCAAAGTGATGGCCTGAAGCGTCATCACATGCACCTGCAAGACATCGGCAGCGGCAGATCCTCCGCGCATTTTTACTGGAACCTTCAAGCTCTATCTCGACCACGATGCCGGAACAGGTGTAGGACAGTACGAGAAGGTCAGCGCTATGCAAGCCAAGCTCTGAACCAAGCAATATCGCCATGTTCGAGCCGAGTGAGCTGAACGAGCGTGATTCTGTACATCTGAAGTACACCCAGGCTCTGTGGTTGGCCTGCCGGATAGCACTGCTTACTGTAGCTTTGCAGGCATCGTAGTAGCAGGGTAGTTCTATCTCTCGGCAAGAGATTCCGAGATCATCGTACTTCAACCCATCAACGCTACATTCTCGCTGTACAACATCATTCCGCACTCACGTATCCTTCTCAAACCACTTCCCACAAGCCTCATGCAAACTCTTCACCTCGGGACACTCCCTCACTAATCTTGAATATATCTCTTCCTCCCCAATCCTCTTACAAGCCTCCGCCAACCCAGCAATCACAAAATCCCCATAACACACCTGTCCCCCCAAAATAAACGGTCCCTCATCCTTCTTCTTCTCTTTTAGGAACTTGCTCAAATTCTCCAGGCCAGGCTTGACAGCTTCCCAAGCCTTCTCTCCTCCCTTCGCAGCTTCGAACTCTTCCACCGTCATCCCGAACCCCGCTTCCTTTTTCGCGCGCCATGTGGGTACAACGTCTTCTGGGATCATCCGACGCATTATCATTGGGAATAAGACGCCGAGGAGGGGAGGAGCGACCTGCCCTAGCACTTCTTGCGCTTTGACGTGCATTTCTGTGTCGAGGCGGAGGGAGTTTTCGGGATATTTCTCTTCGAGGACTGGAGCTATCTTTGCTGAGTCCATGACGAATGTGCCGTCGGGGAGTCGGATTGCTGGGAGGGTGTAGGCTGATTGAGGTGGTCCTTGTTTTGGAGGCTCATTGGGAGGGATGCCGTAGGAGGAGAGGGTTGGTTCGATCGTGATGTGCGTGAGCCATTCGGTGTCGTAGGGGAGGTTCTTGTAGTTGAGAACTAGGCGGGTCTTCCAGACGTTGGGCGACCAGCATTGCTTGGAGACCTTGCTGGAGAGGTCGTAGAGAGTAATCTTGTTTGAAGGCATATTGATGCGATGGTTCGTGTCCTGTATGGCTTATGGTCTGTGGTGCTTGTCTCGCTTGCTGAATTGTTTATGCTGCACTGCTGCGTGGTAGTTGAAGAAAGCTGTGATCTCTCTCGAGATTCTTTGCTCTGGGAAGTAAGAATCAATGGCGCGCAGTGTGTAATTTATACCTACGTGCTGATCGTTCAGAGCATGCGCATAGGCCCGGAGACCCGAGTTCTTATTAATGCTGTATCAAAGCGTGTGGAATATTTCCAGGGCTGAGAGCTACCTACCTGCAGCAGCCCCTCGCGGCCGCAGCTCTGATGCTGCACCATGTTGCTCAATCCAGGTACAAGATCACAGCTGCAGATGTATGATGAGGCACTGTGAGTCAGAGGAGATGTTACGGCTGGAGATTGCATGTCAGTGTATGTCCGGTGGGATCGGATTGTTGATGAAGCTAGAGGATCCGAAGAAATGTGAAGGCAGAGAGCATGGGCATCCGGGTGAGGATCGCCCGATTGGCTGTCGGTGAATGAAACAAAAGGCAGACGCGTGACGTGAGCATGCCTGATGGTATGCAGGAACCGTGATGGACTTGGTATACAGTTAACATGCTCTGATGCTGGTGGCAAGTTGTCTTTGACATTATTATTCACGAGCGTATCGCTGTTGATCTATACATTGCAGGTCGGCAATATGGCGTTCTCAAGAGTACCCTTGCTGCTGGCCCTGTCCCACATGCTCCTAGCGACCGCCGAGCAGCCATCCGCTCCATCGCCTATCGCCGCGCCGCTGAGAGATCTGCCTTGGGGTCAGCTCAACTTCCTACACACTACAGACACCCATGGATGGCATGGTGGGCATCTCCAAGAAGCACAATACTCTGCTGACTGGGGTGACTACATCTCGTTCGCATCGCATCTACGTAAGCGAGCCGACGACGAAGGCAGCGATCTGTTGTTGATCGACACTGGCGACCGCGTTGAAGGAAATGGGCTCTACGACGCGAGCAAGCCGAAGGGCGAATATACCTTTGACATCATCAAGCATCAAAGGATAGATGTCATAACATCCGGTAACCATGAGCTGTACGTGAGGAATACGAGCATTCGAGAATACAACGAAGTCGTGCCAGATTTCAAGAACGCATACATAGCCAGCAACTTGGACATCTTCGACCCAAAGACCGGCGAACAAGTACCGCTCGCGCAGAGGTTTCGCAAATTCACGACCAAGAATCAGAGAATCCGAGTCGTTGCATTCGGCTTCCTGTTCAACTTTAAGGGCAATGCCAACAACACAGTCGTACAACCAGTAGAAGAGACGATCAAAGAGCAGTGGTTCAAAGACGCGATTGACGACAAGGAGGTGGATCTGTTCCTCGTGGCGGGGCATGTCCCGGTCAGAGATAGTCCGGAGTTCGAGGCAGTATTCAAGGCAATTCGTAACGTGAACTGGGATGCCCCGATTGTATTCTTCGGCGGCCATACGCACATTCGTGACTATCGCAAGTTCGGGAAGAATGCATGGGGTCTTGAGAGTGGGCGGTATATGGAGACACTCGGTTTCATGTCCATTACCGGATTAGGCACTGGCGAGAAGGAAGGTGAAATGATGGCTGCGGCCAAGTCGCCAGATTACCGCCGACTTTACATCGACAACAACCTATTCTCTCTCCATCGTCACTCCGGGACCAATAAATCCACCTTTGACACCGAGCTGGGCAAGAACGTCTCGAAAGCTATTCACACTGCCAGACAAGAGCTGGATCTAGACCATGCCTATGGATGCGCACCACACGACTTCTGGTTGAGCCGCGTTCCCTATCCTTCTGATGACAGTATTTTGACCTTGCTGGAATCGAAGATTCTCCCGGACACTTTCAAAGACGCCAAAGCACCCAGCATAATTCTTACCAACAGTGGCGCTATACGCTTCGACATCTTTAAGGGACCCTTTACGATAGATTCAACCTTCCTAGTATCGCCCTTTACGAGTGGATTTCGAACCATCAAGAATGTGCCGTACAAAGCCGCTAGCCAAGTCTTGCAAATGCTCAACAGCGAAGGACCTATCCTCCCAAGTGACCTTCTGGCTCTAGAAGGCGCAGGTGATCCGAGTAGAATCGACGAGCTCGTGCTACACCTTCCTGTCAGCGCGGATAGCCTACTTCACTCTGAGTTGCTGCCTACCAAGCTACATCCGCAGATTGGGGTACAGAGTCAAGTGCCATTCGTTACGGATAATGATAAGGACGATGACAAGGATCAGCCACAAGTGCCAGGGTACACTACCAAAGACGATGCGGGCAGCGACGGCGATGACACGATTCATAAACCTATCAAATTCTATGATGTCCCGAATTGCATTGGCACGAATGTGAGCTTCCCTGCTGCCGCCGAGCCTGAAAATGTCGACTTGGTGTACAACGAGTTCATCCAGAATTGGGTATTGCTCGCTCTCAGATACCTTGGAGAGAAGCGTGAAGTGGAAGACACGGTTTCGGCGCTGGACGGCAAGACTTTGACAGATGTCATCTCCGGATGGATACACGATAATTGGGCGTGTAAGGAGGAGTAGGGCATATGACTTATGATGTTGATGATGGCGTTATGGAGCGTAGGATAGAATTGAAAATTCAATGAGATGATCTATTACAGGTCCGCTTCAAGAGTGCTGAAATGACTCTCCTATACTATCAGGTAACTGTTGGAAAGTTGGGGATTGGGAGAAAGTGCGGCTCGAGACAAATCCGCAAAATTGGAATCCTGTGTATTCTCCTTCTATCTACAATACACACTCCCTCAATCGTCGCAATAAGGTACAGTAGAGAGACCTAGCATACGCAAAACATTAGCAGATATTCACGAGACCATTTTCAATATGCGGAGGACGCAATTCATTGAATCAGACTAGAAAGCTGTTAGTAGGTGACGGAGAAAATTCTTGGGAGGTAAGAGACTTATTACCTGTTGAGCTTTGACATTTTTTTTTTTTGCCTTCATCGAATCCCTCGGAAGTTATCGTTTTTGGAAGAGTACATCATTTGAAGTGCTGCTGGGTTAGATGGGGTTAGGGGGACCGTACCGTTTTTGCGGATATGGGGGTGAAGGCGGTGATGGTTAGTGGGAATTTTGGAAGTTCGAGTGGAGGTGCAGAAGTTGTGGTAGAAATATTCTACGGATGTCGGCGAGTGCACGGGCTGGCGCGAAGGTCTGTCCGGTCCGGTCCGGTCCGGTCCGAGGGATCCCTGCTGGCACAGGCACAGGCACAGATGGGTCTCAAACGCTCTGTGACGTCTGTAATCTATGCTTGACATTGATACAGCACCGGGAGACCTTTTTCGCCCCGTCTTTCCAGAAACTTGGGCTCATGGAGGCACTAAGAGTACCTTATTAACCGACTTTTTAAGAGCTTGAATCACCTAACTAGGCTTCGGCGATGTAAGCGACTTATATTAAATCGCACGCGTGTTACCGCGAGCGACCTATTGTAGGTTATTAGTATAGCGTTTTCTATAGGTCGCACCTATTATAAGTCGCATAGAGTATAGCGTGTAGATATCGTCTAAATCGCGTCTATTTCCTATTATTTAGCCTCTACCGCGTATCTTATTGCTATATACTATACTATCGCTATTATTGCTATTTAGATAGTATATCTTGTTACTTAGATAACCTTACTACCGCCTCTTATTACGTGTTTTAATAGCTAAGCCTAACTACCTCATTTACCGCTTTTTTAAGTAGTATAACGACTATAGAGCGAAGCGACGTATAACGTATCGATTCTATATATACGACGCTATTAAGGACTTAACTCGAAATAAGGAGTATATCGAAGGGTATAAGAAGCGTCTTAAGGCGCAGAAAACAGAGCTAGGTATAATAGATTAGACTAAATTGCCGTAGGTCGCGTTAACTAACAACTAATACGACTATCTCGAGGAATTATACGCCGCGGTCTGTTTCGAGGAGAATAAGCCCTTTACGTTCTTCGAGAAGCTAGCTATTAAGGCCTTGTTCGCGGTATTATATCTATCTTTCGAGCCTCCGAATGCGACGCGAATTCGACGCGTTTTGCTACTATAGCACTTCGAGAAGCTAGAAAAGAAGATATTAGTAAAGATTAAGTACGCTAAAGAGTTAAACCTATAAATCGACGGTACGTCTAACGGTAACGGTATAGGCGTTACTACCTTGTCGTTCGTCGACTCGACTAGCTACTATACTATCGAAACGCGCTAAATAGAGACTATTAATAAAAGCGGTAAAGAAGGCGCGCGCTAGACAAAGGCGAAGTGCGAATAGCTTACTAGCGGCGACCTGTCGAAGGTTAGCTCGATCGCGTTTAATATATATACGATAAACCTAAAGATAATATACTTACTAGAAGAAGACGAAGCGCTAAGTTACGTTATTATAGTGCCGTACGACTTATACGGAAGCGTATTGTTAATACGAGACTTCTTTAAACACCCGGAAATAGCGGTTCTATACGACTAGGCTTAGTACCTTGTCTCTTACCTATCGCGGAAGAAGGCGATATACTAGCTTCTAAAGCGCAAACAGAAAGAGGTATATAATAAGACCTTCTTACTTATTAGTATATGCGACACTCGCTAGCCGACTATTATCGCCCTCTTTAAGTTACTTAAACGTAGCAAGTATGCCCTTTAAGAGCTTATTCGCGACCCTCTCTATACTCTAGACTATAACGCGCGTTCTTTAATTACGGACTATAAGTTTTAGAGTGATCTTTCCGCGGCAATTAATCTACTAGAGCTACTTAATAACTACTTAATCTTATCTTAATCTAAAGAAGCTACGCTCGAGAAGGTAATACCTCGCTAGCTTGCCTATAAAGCTATCCTCGAGAAGTAGGTCGATACTAGCCCTCTACCTATTCGTAAGCTTCTCGAAGGTATCTAGTACGTTCTTATTACTCGTAGGTCGACTGCAACTATTACTAGATAGCAAGAGAGGTTTATACGGCAAACAACTAAGCATTACTAGGCAGCATACTTCCTTAACCTAGCGACAGTCTAGTAGGGCGTAAAGCCGACTTCTACTAAGTAAGCCCTTATACTCGATGCCTTAAGAGCTACTATAAACGACACCGAGAAGCAGCTTGCTATCGAAGCCGCTTAGTACGATTATATCTATAAGAGAGGCTCGTTTACCGCTTCTAACGACTACTAGACACGCTATAGCGATAATATAAAGATCTTCTAGAGCAATAGGGCTGCTACTTTACTATTGCTAGCAACATACGCTCTCCGGCTTTATTAAGCTATAGCTAACACTATAACTACTAAGCGGACGTTCTTAGCCCTTAAACTAATATAGATAAGGCTCCGTTCTCGTCTAACTATAGAGCGGCTTAATTAGCTAATCTTTATCTACTTTAACTGTCGAGTCCTTCGTAGCGAGGTCTTAAACAATAATAGCAATAAGAAGCGGAAGCGGACGACTCTACCTACTAGCGGCGACTTTACTTAGGAATAGCTCTAGCAAATAGACGAGGAAGAGGTTGCGGTAGTAGCTAATGCTATAGTATTATTATAGAGCGCTATCTACGACGTTGTTAGCGATAGTTTGAATAGCAATCTGCCTACTTACAACGAATACGTAGAAGAAGTAGCTCTAGAGACTGCTTTTAGAAGGGTTGACATCTATAATCTATTGTCTTAGGTCTTAGGTCTAATCTACTACAAAATCTATATATTGTATGCCTGCGAGTTATGCCTGCGACTTAATAATAATCGCACTATATTGCGCGTTAATTATAGTCGCGCGCGCGCGACCGACTTAACCTAGCCGATCTCTGCACCTAACTAACCGAGCTACGCTAGGACTACTTAGCAGGCAGAGATGAGCCTATCAGTGTGTTCCCCGGCACAACTCACTTATCTATTACACCTTCGCTAAACACACTCGTGGAGGAATATAGCAGGCGGCCGATCACACGTGTTTCGGATCGATGACCAGCAATCTCTCGGGCATTGCTAGGCGACACATATCACGCTGGATCATAGCGCTCGACCATCGTCAGAGATTTATGCTGGGTGGGCCAGACACTCTACATCTCCGAGCGACTCTCCCAATCCTGATTTTTTTCCGACCTCACGGCGCCATCGTGGTCGTGGGCTTCTGCTCCTGGTCACGTACTGTAACTTTCCGCGTGGGATCGCCAAAATCAGACGGTTTCCAATCCATGGCGTCGCTCGTCTCCCACGATGTGGAGCCCATTGGTCTCGACCCGTTTGGTCAGGTAGATGGCGGGGAACCTCTGTCTCCATGGCTGGTGGATACAAGAGTGCACTGTGCTGCGAAGGTGCCCGAACGAACGGCTTGGGCTTGGAGAGTGCGACGTCTTCTTCGGGTTCTGAATCGACCGGAAACCATTCCTCCCTCGACGTTTACAGCTTTCCTCCTTCCACCAAACGAACGACCGACAAATTAGACGTTGATTTCTTGGATGGCTTTGTTTTTTTCTTCCCCCTGTGACTGGCAGAATTGGGACGTACAGGCGCCTCGGGCTGCTTGAAGTTGATCAGCATCGCTCGGACCGAGAGGTCGAGTACTCTATAGAGGAGACCCTAGAAGCCTTCACTTCGGATCCTAAGCAGAGTGTAGTCATCATCTGACGTACTGAGCGGACCAGCTCGAGGTTCTAATACAGCAGAAATGCAGTTTGAGTTCGTAGGTAAGCCTTCTGTGAAAGGTCCTACAACAACTGGAGGCTACTGAAGAGTCTTTTTTGAATGCGGCTATGAGCTGTATGTGTGCTTTAGATCTCGATAGAGCGGCCGTATCGGATTTTCGTAGCTCACCCCTTCTGTAGGATTTCGGAATCTCCTAAGGGAGGAGGATATTCATCTGTCGCTCAATATCGAAGACATCGTAGACAGCACTTGAATCTAGTCTGATGGAATGAGTGCGTGTCGTAAAGATGTTTGCACGATTCGGAAGATGTATTACGATACTATGCAGTAACGGCTCTCGTCTCGGGCCATGGGTATCTCTAATAGCACATGAGTAAGCAATGCAATTTGACTGACGTAGCAGCAGAATCTTGCTCAAATCAGACCGCTGTCTCCTAGAGCACCAGAAATGCAAGCTCAATCTCCATGCTATTCGAAAGCAGCAGCAGCAGAATCTTGCTCCAATCAGACCGCTGTCTCCCAGAGCACTAGAAATGCAAGCTCAATCTCCATGCCATTCGACAGCAGCAGCAGCAGAATCTTGCTCCAATCAGACCGCTGTCTCCCAGAGCACCAGAAATGCAAGCTCAATCTCCATGCCATTCGACAGCAGCAGCAGCAGCAGCAGTAGAATCTTGCTCAAATCAGACCGCTGTCTCCCAGAGCACTAGAAATGCAAGCTCAATCTCCATGTCAGCTGGCTGAGCTCGCAACTTCTTGATCAGCTGTCGAACTGCAGCTTTCCCACGACCTTCATCTCTCGCGATCCGTGGCTGAATGTTTCCGCCGTGAAGGTCGGTTATGCATTTGACGCGCACTTCTTTGATCCGACCACTCTCTTTCAACTCATCTGGCAAATAAGATTCGATCTGCCGAAAGAGCTCCGGACCGCTGTCGAACTCTTGCAAGTCGATATGATCCGTGTACTCAGTGTCTCGACCCCAATTGATCTCGACTGTGATGTTGTCGAGACGTCTCGTATTGAGAGACTCCTTCTTGCTCTCGTCGGCCGAACCTTCTCGATTTGGCTCGACAGTAGGCGTGACTTGCTTCAGCTGGCCGTCTAGAGAGCGCTTTCGAGGAAATGCAGTAGCTCCTGTCACAACGTCAAATGCCTCGAAGCGGACGATCTTTTGCAGAAGTGGGAAGTCGGTTTGTGTCTCGGGATAGTTGATGAATGTCGAGCGCAGGACTTCAAGCTGCTCGCGGCTCATCAAAGGATATGAGTCGAGCACCTGAACGGCCGCAGAGCAAGCGCACAATCGTCCAAGTATCTCTTCCGCAAGCTTTGCCGTACGCTCGACAGCAGGTGTCTTGGAGCGAACGGCCGGCCGGCTCGTCTGAGAGACTGATGAAGATCGTCTCTGCGCACTCGATAAAACTCTGGGTCCTGTAGCTAGGGCACGAATGCGCTTCTCCAGCAGGAAGAGATCATCTCTTGTGTCCGGAAATTCGTCCAGAACGCTTCGGAGATTCTCCAGGCGATCGCGGCTCATGTTTGGATAGTTGGCAATCAACTCCCTTGCAACAGTGCAATCTGCGAAGTCGCCGAGGATTTCTCGTACATCTGACATGGCTGGTGGTGGCTGATCTTCGTCTACAGTCAGATCCACATGAACTGTATTTCGTGGCGCACCAGACTGGTCATTTCCGGCGCCATTCCAAGGCAGTGTTTGCCGGTAGGGTGACACGTATGCACTCGGGTTGGGCGGTGGGTGAGTGCTTGCCGGTTGTGTACCGACAGCGATGGTATCTGGCTCTACCCGAGCGCTCGGCACCTCAGTTCGTGACCAACACGAACCGGTCGATGCAAGTCGTGAGAGCCGTCTAGAGCTCACTCTCAGTCTGATCACCAGAGAGTCTGCTCTAGTTCCATCTTCTCGGATCACGCGAGCTCGTTTGGAGCGTCCCGGCGGAGGTGTCTGCCCAGGTAGCCGCTTCTGACTTGTTTGGTGAAATCTCACGGCCGACGAGGGACTACTGGGAGGGCGCGCATAGACTCCACCAACAGATGGCAGACCGTGAGGAGGAACGGAGGGCACCGGCGACGTGTAGGCAGCGAACTGTTCGTGGAAGGCTCGCGATTTGTCGGTCAGCCTAGGCTGCTCGAGTGGGCTGGCGCCAATGCCGGAGTCTTGGTCAGGCTCCTCTTCCTTGTCAATGCTTTGCTCTGGATGTACGTAGGTGGTGTCTTCGAGCTCATGAAAAGTGTCCTCTTGTAGTTGTTGACTGAGCTGCTTTGCAATCTGACGCCGCGACTTCTGCAGTTGATTCTCGTGGAACTATGGCAGTGTAAGTATCTTCGCGTCGTTGGGCTCGCGGACACGGCTTACATTGACGCATTTCTCGATGACGAGCTCGATGAAGGAGTGTCGCAGTCTGCAAGGATGTCAGCTTGAGCTTGTCGCCAGCCAGCGTGCGGTTCACGCGCTGCGGGAGGATGTCTTGTCTTACGTCTCGCGATCCTGAAGATCCGTGTAATGCAGAGACCTGGGATAGCGGGCGTCGTGGCGCGTCGGAGAAGGCTCCTCCAGCCACGCCGGCGGGTCATTCTCGGGGCCAGGCCAGATTTGGGGGGCGTATTTGTGGAAAAGTCGGGTGGCATCGTCTTTGAGTGGCTGCGAGTCGCGAATCTCGTCGAGTGGCCGGTGAACATGGGCCGTCTGGATCATCTTGATGCCTTTCAGGGCTGCTTTGACGGGCGGCGCGTCTTTGTTGGACTGCCGACTGATGCCTCGCTCGCTTTTGAGGCCCAAAGTCTGCTCAATGCTCAGAACCTGGCGCAGCAAAGATTGTCAGCGCTGTCGAGCACGAAAAGAAGAATGGCAATGGATGATCGGTACATCACGCTGATTGCGCCCGTTCTTCTTGAGCGGAGGCGGAGACGCTGTCATGGCCGGCGTTGATGACCAGCGCTGCGCAGCAATTCGAGCTTGGAGGTCGAGGGCCGAATGGCAATGGGGGGCCGGCCAGCTTAGAAAAGGCTAGGACCGATGTTGTAGCAAGATACGTGGGACGGTCAGCGGCACGCAAGGAAATCAGCAATAATGATGACTTCGAGGCGGATAGCGACCGCGAAGCGACAGCGACACGGCGTTGCAGCCGAGATGGGGAAAGAAGGAAAAGTGAGGGTGGGTGTGGGTGGAAAAGCTAAGAAGCGAAGCTATGTTTGCGCCAAGCCGTTAGCTAAGTACAGTACCTCCTACGATCGATCTACGCACACGCGCAGTACATGTCACTTAAGGACAGTTAATGCTAAGCCGTCGCCATCCTCCGTAGCTATTCTAGCATTCGACACCGTATGCGACGCCGAGAGGTCCCATAGAATATCTATGCGGGGGAGCAATGTCATGTTCTTTCGGTGCATCATCCCCGACACTGTTACACCCCGCATCTATTTCACCAACACCGTCTATTCACAGCTATGCTCATGTCACGTCTTATTGAGAGGTTGCCGGCTGTCGGAAAGAAGCATCCCCTTGTTTCGGGCATGCGAAACTCTCGTCTATTCTGAACTCTGCAAAGCGCCCAAGGACGAATCAAGTATTCACGAGCGAAGAACTCAGAGCTCGGCAGAGCCAGGGATTGTATCCGGATGTGGCAGTGCTATAATAATAAATAGCAGAGAAATCTGCGCTTGGCCACGCTAAAAGCAGAGCGATACACGTATAGCTCTCGTTGTGATCGAAGTTGGCAACCCTGTACACATTCTACGATGAACCTAGCCAAATACCGGGGGCTTGGCCTGCACAGCTCCAGTCGGCTCCAACGCGCGCTGCAGCTGTCCAGGCCAAGAAGCAAGCTCTGACAGGGAACACAGCTCAAAGTAGTACCTCATGCTATTTATTCATGACTAGCTGGCAGCAGTGTGTTCTTGTCCAACGTTAGAATAATCCGTCCAACGAGCCACAAATCAAGTACCCAAGTCCAGCGACGCCTAGAATACACAACATGGCGGCCGACTGGAGCAATCTGCCGAAAGAGCACAAGTTACGAAAGTTTTCGGAAGCACTGCGCGACCTGTTGGAAAATGCCGGGTACAATGAGATGTATGGCATCGAGCTGGAGGCGCCAGAGGGAGAGTCAGTCTCGATGGAATCCCATCTTCCAGTGCACCCTCTCACTGACCGCGTCGCAGCCAGCCAGCAGCGCACACGACGCTCATCATCCTCCAGAAGTTCTTACGAGCCAACGTAGACGATCTCGCCAAGGCCAAAGACCAGCTTCTACACGCGCTGAAGTGGCGGAAGGATTACCAGCCGCTGAAAGTAAGAGATGAGGTATTCGATGCAGAAAAGTTTGGAAAGCTGGGATACGTGACCAGGGTGAAGGGCGCAAAGGAAACACCCAATGACGAAGACGTCGCTACCTTTAACGTTTACGGCGCTGTTGGGAAGGACATCAAGAAGACATTTGGAGATACCGACGCGTAAGGTCTTCCGGCCTCAATTCCAAACGTCAATGCTGACGCACCTCACAGCTTCGTCCGCTGGCGAGTCGCTCTCCAAGAGCTGACCCTCCGAGAACTGCACCTCGAACAAGCCGACAAGCCCATTCCCGACTACGGCAAAGGTCCAGACCCATACAAATCCCTCGCCGTCCACGACTACATGTCCATCTCCTTCTTCCGCCAACCAGCCGAGATCAAAGCCTCGTCGAGCAAGATCATCGACATGTTCCAGAGGTACTACCCCGAGACCGTCTCGTACAAGTACTTCGTCAATGTGCCACTGGTCATGCAGTGGATGATGGGCGCGATGAAAGCGCTGATGTCCAAGGACTCCATTCAAACCATGACCTGGATGACCTACGGCAGCGAGCTGTACAAGTATTTGGGTCAAGAGGTCCCTAAGGAATACGGTGGCACCGGGCCGGCTTTGATCGAGAGTGCCCTCACACCGAAGTATGGTGCTCCAAGCTCCGAGACGAAGCCAGAAGCCGTGCCAGCTGCTGCATCCGAGAATCCCGCGGCGCCAGGGGCGGAGAAGAAAGACTCCGAGCCAGCTCCTGCCGCACCGGCGGAGGAGAAGAAAGACTCTGAGCCAGATACAGCCGTTGCTGCCGATACTCACGCCGCGGCACCAGTAGAGGAGAAGAAAGACTCCGAGCCATCTACAGCTGTTACCGCGGACACTCGGGCTGCGGCGCCAGCAAGTCCCGAGCCGATCGTGGCCCCTCCAGCTGCAGAGAGTGCCGGAACCGTCACCGACACAACCCCCGAGGTCACCGGCAAGCCCGAGGAGAAAGCGACCGTGGCATGATGAGGACACCAGCACATTTCTTCAATCTCAACTTCTAGTAGATGGAAAAAATTTTTCTTCTGCAAGAAGATTTTTGACTCGTTTTTTGCTTTTGCTTTCCACGCGTTATACCCCGTGTTTGATTTTGATTTTGATTTTTCTTTTTCCCTTTTCCGATAGATTCAAGTTGTAAAGAAAGGCTTCGGTGGGGGAAAAAAAGTGTATTTAATAAATCCATGGATTTCATTCGGTCGTCGTTATTGGTGTTGTATATGGGTATCGTTCGTATCGTTCGAGGAAGAGCTACAAGGTTCTAGCTGTGGTGCTCTTACTCGGTCGTATACAAACGAGGTTTCAATACTATCACAATGTCCCCCTGTATCTTAAAATGCTGTATTAGCGAAAGAGATCATCATATTACTTCCTATCCTTAAACTAGTGCTATTACAAGCTTACATCCGCTAAGACCGAACTATAAAAGGTAAATTCGCAGCTGTGCAGTTAATGTCCTATCGGGAGTGTTCGGCAAGACTCCACATTATGCGTTCGTAGTAATTCGAAACGCGCATGTTCGTAGTCAGCCAAAGCGCTCAGATGTGGGCTGAAACTTGAGATTCTCTAAGATGTGTATGCGTTGACGGAGCAGGCGGTGTATGGAAGTACTAGGTGGATGCCTTCTCTCCTCTTTCCAACGTTGGGGGAATTCTACGTTATGCCTTGACCCTCCTTGGTTGTACAGCTTGTGCAGTACCGATCGATGATGGTGAGGTTGGAGTTCTGGATGCTCACTTTGAAACAATTGATGCCGCTTTAGTATTGTGTCTCTTCTTATCGCGCGCAGGACGCAAATCACGGATCAGGGCTCGGCGCGCGTCTTGTTGTCATTGGAGGAGCGAGAGAAGGAGGATTGTGAGGCATCTGATCTAGAAATTCTTGTCGTTGATTTCCGCCGAGCCCGATGTACTATTTGGCCTAGACTTGTTTGGACGTTGATGTTGCGCATCCAAGCCGATTCGTAGATCATGTCAATGTTTCGCAGGGTTTCTCTCGATAAGGAACCATCTCTCAGGCGGTGACACCTGGATTGTTTGACCTTTATATCTTCCTCGCGGTCGCCTTACATGACGGTTGTGCAGCCAAGTGCCTTCTCCAAGATCGGAAGCTGGCCCAATGTTTCTTCTGTGAGGCCCCAGTGTCTGGCGTGCCTGGCCATGGGACGCCTTGATGGATTCAAGGTCATGGTACCTTCACTTTTGGGTCGCCTTCTGCCGAAATTCAGTATCCTAGTTGGAGTCTTGAGGCCAGAATATACCAACATTGCTCGCCCTCGAGGCGGAAGGGTCGCTACAGAGTCGCCAAACCGCAAAGGATGCGTCGGCGCGAAATTCAGTAGCCTCTTGGCGCGTTTGCTCAGGGCAGAAAGAGAAAGAATGAATATGGGATTGAGAATCTGGCGCGGGAGCAGAAACTGCTGAAAGACGTCCAAGAAGCACCCCAAGAGGTTATTGAAGCTCTTCTGCGGCTGGGAATAGAGATTACTGCGCAAGACGCGGTCGCGAAGGACCAAAAAGATCTTCGCATTCGAAGATAATGGCGAGCCAGATAGCGACGAAGAAGAGCCACCACTGCAGCACACGCTCGACCGCGAGAATTTGTCATCGCATGCGGGAAGCTGAGGCACGATGGCATGATTTGCAGAATCAGGTACTCGAGCAGAACGTGATGGCTGTCAACGAGCGCGACGTTTTCGGGCCTGCTGATCATGCCAGTGACGGGCACTGATTCCTCTTGCACAAGAATGTGTGATGAGAGGATACAGAAAACGGCCATGAAGAAGCGAGGACTGACCGAATGGGCGGTTTCGGCCGAAGGTCGTGGTTTCGATTTCCTATTGAGCCAAGCATGTATGCAGATATCGAAACAGGCTCCCCTGCCAGGGGTGCCATATCGAGTTTGTTGAATGATACTCATCCAGAGCTGGGGGAGCGTTGGAAAGCAGAGATGGTCGTTGTGCGTAAGGAAGTTGAGCCCCGTCTCAGAGAATGGGAGGTGTTGTACATCGGTGCCAACTTTGTTCGATGCCTTGTTGCAATCGTTCTGCGTCTGAACTAGACCAGTGTCGGCCTTACGAGCTTCTTGGACCTGGCGGCGTGATGCCGTTCTGAGAACGTAGATCGTGGGGTCGCACCAAGCGCAGCTGGTGCACGCGGAGATAGACTGCACCTGCTGTACGGCCTAATTCTTTGATTATGAACGACACCTTCTTGCCTTGCGAGTAAAGGGTTTTCAATTGTGTATCCTCCTCGTCGCTCCATACACGCCGTCGTATGGGTCCTGCAGAGCGGGCGGGCTTCTCTGCTGGACTGCTCGACAGCAAAAAAGCTTGACGATTTATTGCCATTGGCGATCGACCAGGGAAATAGGCGAACAAAGCCCTCCGCGTTAATCCATCCGATAGCAGCGTTCGGAGTAGCGCAATTTCCTCATCAGACCAGGGAAGACGACTGGATATCGACGGATTTGTGCTTTCATGCTCCTTGGCGAGGCATACATTGCGGATAGCTGTCAAACTCTGGCATCCAAGCTTATCTGCAATTGCTTTGTAAGTCCAGCCCGAATGCCGCAGAGCTACTACGTCTGCCTGCTCCTCCTGTGTCAATGTTCGCCGGCTGCGAGTCCTTTTGCGCAAGGATGCGAACTCGGCCTGTTCTTTCCGCACGAGCTTCCACCATTTGGTCTCGAGGCTGCTGTAGGTTCTGCCGCTGAAATGCGACAGCCAGTCCTTCACCGGCACGCCGCATGATTTCAACCTGATCAGCTCCGCCGTCTCGTGTGCTGTCCACTTACGCCGGTGTCGCGACTTGCTATGCTCCCTTCCATCGACAGCCTGGCCTACGCTGAAGCTTTCAGTCGCCAGATATTGCCTCCGACTCTTGACAAGTGGTTGCACCCACGGGCGCAGGCGCAACGCTGCTACGCCCCACTGACCTGTGAGCAGCAGCATATTATTCCATTCGCATATTCTCCTCTTGATCATCAGTCGACGCTGGAAAGTAGGTGGCTAGTCGTGAGAGGTCATGCTTCAACCACGCGTAAGAGACGCGAGGAAAGCAGATTGAGTTGCGGTACGGTACGGTACGGCAGGGTACGGTACGGCAGGGTACGGTACGGCACGGTACGGTACGGTACGGTACGGTATGATACTTGGCCACTTCCCCGAGCCCCAGCTGGCTGCCCGAGCCCCAGTAGATTATAGGATTACGAAATCAGCTGTTCCTTACAAAATCGCGTGCAGAAGCGATTTCTGGATCCCTACGGCCACTGCCGACCGGGCAACTATACTGCTATTAACTATAAAGCCAAAGATTGTTAGCAAAATAGTAGTATAGCAAAATTCGAGGTATTGTTAATAGTTATAGTAGTAGTAATAGTTCTATCTACTCGTTTCTAAGCGGGTTGCGGCCTGCGGCCTTATAACTACGCGAGGCTATATATACTAGCTTATACTAGTCTCTTAGCTACTAGCTAGATTGCTATTGCTATTATATTTAGTACTAGTAGTATTAGTAGTATTATTGCTATCGATATTGCTGCTATATATAATACTATTAGTATTGTTGCTATAGAACGCTATAGTGCAGTAGCACCTACTATACTAGCTATATTAGTAAATACTAATATTGTTGCTATTACTATCGCTATTACTATTTAAACAATGCCGCCTACTATCGGCTATAGTTAATCTATTGCTAAGTACGCTATTCTTTACGCGCTCGGAGGTTATTAATCTCTTACCGTAGAAGGTCTAGCTTAGAAGGAGGTTGTAGTTTAACTAGAAGTGCTTCTTACCGTAGATTATAATAGTCGAAGCCTATAGGGTAATAGGCAGGTCTATAGGCACGGTTAGCCTTCTAGTAAGGGCATAACTAAGTGCGGCATTGGCTCTTAACGCACTTATAGTAAGCAATAGTAGTCCTTAATTAAGTAAGAGACACGCCTAGCTCTAATATAAAGTCTACGGTCCTTGCTATTACTATCTTCTGCTTCTTAGCGACCGCTATAGTGTTTAAATCGTCTAATTCTCGAGCCGTTGCTGCACGCTTAGTGCTATACAAAGTAGCTCCGCCGGTTATAGGTTTGCGGTTGCTAAATACAACTTTCGGCTCTCGTAGGCGTAGCGGTCGTTTACTAAAGTCGACTAACTAGTGCTTATAGAAGTAACGAGGCAATAGCACTATACGGCTTCCTTCTATCTTAACTATCTTTATAATCTCGTAGAGGCACGGATAACTATAGGTCTTAGTTAAGTAGTCGTTGCAGCGGTATCGTATATAGCTATACGAGAAGGCTAAATACTTAATCTCGTTGCTATTATCGTTAGTCGTAGTTCTTAGAAGGGCGATAGTACGTCTATATAGCTTAGCTACTTCGAGAAGGCAGTAATTACTAATAACTCGAGAGATACTAGCGTAGAAGGGTCTAGTTAGTAGTTTGCTATACCTCTTTAGGTTGTCCGCTATAGCGGTACGGCGGCGGTCGTAACCTTCTTGCTACTAATTAAGAAGCGACTCGAAGAGCGTAAAGATATCGTGTCGGCTACTATAGTTAAGCTAGAGCTTAATACGTCTATAGTAGGACTCGACTCGTAAGGTTGTCTTATAGCCGAAGTGAAGCACTTAGTTAGTCTAGAAGTTAACTATTCTCGTCTTATAGTGCTACTAGTTCTTATAGAGATAGGCCTTAAATATAGGATAGACGTTGTCTAGCTTTACAGCGTTGCTATTAAATTCTTCTTCGGTCTTACTATATATAGTGTAAGTGAATAGCTTTATAAACTTATTAGTAGATAGACTATCTGTCTAGCAACCGTCGGCCTTAATCTATATAAAGTCGCCTCTCTCCTTCCTTACTCGAGTAAGTATGTCCTAGTTTAAATACTACTCGTAGACGATGTTCGTAGCTTCCGGAAACACTACATTGATAGCTAGCATTAAGGATTCTTCTCGATTAGTTGCTATTACAATTGGTATAGTATAGTCGGCTTCTTCGAGGCCCTTTCGGACAGACCGTAATAACTAGACGAAGTTAGCTTAGTCTAGCTTCGGACGGATAAGGCTAATACCGAGCTTAATAGTATCGTTTATCGGTCTAGCGGCGACTATGTCTAGTAGCTCGAGGTTATATAAATTAGTAGAATATATAGTGTCGAGAATTAGCTAGTACGGCGTCTCCTTAAAGGCTTCGAGCGAGGTTAGATATAGAGCTACTATTAACTAAATTAAGCCGTCCTTAGAAGGGTAGATATCGTAGAAGATGCTATTGCTATCTAGCAAGTTAACTATACGTTAAGCCTAGTTAGCCTCGCGGCGCTAATTAAGAGTCCGGTTCTAGGCAATATTATATATATTATAAGGCTTTAAGATTACTCTACGGTAGCGGAAATAGGCTATTATCTTCGACGTTAGTATACGAGCTTGCTATAGCCGTTCTAATTGCTCGAGGAATTCAGCCGTTCTCGAGCGCTTCCGAAGGGTAGCAAGCGCTATAATATCGTCCTTTTAATAGTTATAGTAGTAGTATCCTTCTTTAGTAGAATAGCGGATCTGCTACTCGCCTTCTAGCTCGAGAGGGTAGATAGTAATAGCGTAGAAGTAGAACTTGTAGTCTATCTTCTTTGTCTTCTTCTACGCCTTATTAGTTGTATTCTAGGTCCGCTTGTCTAGTAGACCAAAGCAGCTATATATATACAAATAGCGATATTTAATGCTATTCTTATTCTTCTTAGGCTTCTACTCCTTAAACTCGTACCCCTTCGATATACTAAATTCGTAGATATACCGCTCGAGGGCGCGTTTTAAAGGGAACGTCGACTCGCGCGGCATTAGACCTTGCGGCGGTAAGGTCGCTTCTTCTAGCGGTTTAACGATAAACTCGTATTTCTAAGGGTACGGCGATACTAATCGATATTTAGGTAGAGATATACGCTCTCGAGGCAGGTTAAGTAAGCGACTGCGCCCTCGAACACGCGTTTCCGAGACTAATTCGACTTCTTCCTACGACTTAATATCTACTACTACCCCTTCTACTACTACCCCTTCTACTACCTCCTCTTCTACTACTTCCGCCGCGCCGCCGATATCGTCTTTAGCGAGGAAATCGTCTATATAGGCCTTATGCGATAGAGATTAAGCTATTGTATTAAGAAAGATAATAGAAACACGTATTCTAATAGAAATAATAGAAATGCGATATTTAGTACGCGTGCCTAGGCGCGACTATTAATAACACTAACTAAGAACAGCTATGTCTGAAAACAGGTGGAAATAGCACGTAATCGACGATAAGGCGATTCTATATTAGTGCTAGGTCTATATCTACTGGGGCTCGGGCAGCCAGCTGGGGCTCGGGGAAGTGGCCAAGGGTATGATATGGTGAGCTACGGTACGGTACGGTACGGTACGGTACGGTCCGAAAATGACGCAACGTCGAATCGTGATCTGATCTTGGTCGCACACGGAACAAAGGGCGGCGAAACAACGGCGTATCATGACCCAATAATGACCTATATCTCTGCAGCATGGCGACCAACATTCCTACTGTGGAAGACCTGAAGGAATTCCTACCAATCCCCGCCAACATCGGCGCACTGACCGATCCTGACAAAGTCGACGTGGCCCAATCCATAACGGAAAAGCCGACGGCGAGTCATGCTCTGGCAATGGCCGACCACCACGACAAGGGCGCCGCGCAGGAGACTCACGACGACGAGGTGAAGGACCTGGGCTGGGCCGATCATGTTGACCAGATGCAGAATCCGCTGGTGGGCGGCATGCACAACGAAGACTTGTGGGTGCTCGTGCGCCGCTTCAACAAGGTAAACGACATTGATCGTTCGTACTGCCATGCCATGCCGTGCTGATGCCGCGTAGCAAATGTACCATGTCAAAGACTATCCCTACCCGGTACCCGGGAACCTGGACCTCAACATCGCCGACGAGGAAGAGTTCTCGCCTGACAAGCTACGAGCCAATATCGAGCGACTGTACATGACTGTCATCATTGGCCTCATGGGAGCAACGAAGCAGATCATGCGATTGCGTTCATGGCGAGAGACCCGGAGGACGACTTGCTTTTGTGCAGCATACTTCATTGCCTGGGCTTTCGACTTCCTGACTCCACTATTCTTGAGCGTCGTCATCGCACTGATCGTCTACCCACCATGTCGAGACATCTTGTTCCCTCCAGCGCCACTCGCACTCGTCTCTGCGAGCACCGGTGGCGTTCAGAAGCCCAAGGCAGGCGTTCTCGGATCGACAGACTCCGCTACAGGCGCACCGGAGAAGCACAAGGGCGAGGCAGTTGAGGCCGAGGCTAGCAACGTGGTCAACAGTATTGCTTCTGTCGCCTTATCCAGCGTGGCCGGGAAGCACCCGCAGAACGAACCACCTCACGCTGAAAATAGCAGAGGAAACGATTCCGTTCCCGATCCTACGGCACTGGCCATGGGTGCGAGTAATGCTCGCTCCAAGACGGGTGGCGAGGACAGCGTATCCAAGGACAAGACCAGAGTACCCATGGAGACCGCGATTTGGAACAATATGAGGCCTATCATGCATGGTATCGCTGACGTCTCCGATACATGGGAACGATTTGGCAACGCACTGTCTCCTACCCCACCCTTTCCACGCGATCTCTTTCGTCTGCGGATAGCTGCTGTCGTCGTGCCACTCCTCGGCGTCTCCATCTTCGTCACATCCTACATGCTCGTCAAAGGCATTACTTTCGGCGTAGGCTTCGGGTTCTTTGGTGATCCACTAATCCAGCGCGGACTCGTCTGGCTCAACAGTCACTTCCCTAAGTGGCAGAAACTCCTAGAGCTACGCAATACTCTCCTCAAAGGCGTCCCAACTAATGCCCAGCTCACCATAACGCTCCTCCGCATAGGCGAAGCAAACAAAGCTCCAATTCCGCCACCGCCATTGTCACACGGTCCACCGCCAGACGAGCCTGTCGAGCTGACCGAAGACGAGCTTCGTGCTGCGGGTGCCGACTGGCCTTTGAATGCCACTGACGAAGAGATAAAAGCTGCTATTGAGCCCGACCCCACCACAGCCCATGAGACCGCAGGTACAGATATCGACGAGTCGAAGAAGAAATCTCACGGAAAAGCCGGTGCCAAGATTTTGGGTTTCTTGAAAGGTAACGTCAAAGCCAGCGTCGATACGGCTTTGGGTGTGGACCACCTCAAAGCTAAAGCTGGAAGCGAACCTTCAAAACAACGTCTCGGTGTCATACCACCTCGAAACGAATCAAAACTCTCCGGCCCCATCGACTTCAAATGTCGATACCACGGCAAGCGAGGTCACGCATACATCGCCACCAAAGCCACAATTCCATGCATCGGATTCAGTCTCGACAAGAACATCACCAGCAAAGATGGCTCCGGCTTGAATTCTGAACTCCATCCCGTCTGGACCGTGGCTTTGGCTGACATCAAAGAACTCAAGAAACTTGGTGGTTTGGGATGGAAATCTAAACTTGTGGTCGGTTGGGCTTTGGATCGTGAGGTTGCGGATGGTTTGGAGATTGTGGATAAGCTTGGAAATCACTGGATTCTTACGGCTATGGTGTTGAGGGATGAGCTTTTTAATCGGCTTGTTGCTATGGGTGGGCAGAAGTGGGAGGCTTGGTGAAGACTATGATATCGACAGTACAATATAGAAGGGCTAAGTGTCTCGGGTGGGGTTTTGTGAGTGGGTGGGGAGTTTGTTTTGTGATACCTATGAGCATATGGAAGCCTTTACCTCAGCCGCTTCCTTTCTGGCTTGGTTCTCTCCGCATTCTTAAGTCATCTGGAAGAAGCGCGCGCGTGAGATGCTGGTTCTCTGTGTCCCATCTTTCTGCGACCTTGCTGCTCTCGACTCTCGGGAATTGCCTTTGCTTGTATCTCGGCCTTCACGAAGGAGTGCTCATGAAAGGGGTGTATGACGACAGCCACCTGCTCGGAAAGTCATATCCTCCTGCACGCAAAAGAGGCATACGTCCTTCATGTTGCTCTCGACTTTTTCGACAATGCTGCTGTACTTGGCGAGCTTGTTGGCGAGCTTGTAGTCTTTGACCACCGTTCCTACGCAAGAGCCCCTCTTCGGATCCCCTGCGCAAGGAGGCGACACGCTGTCGTCAAGATCACTGAAGTCGGCGTCTGACATTGCTCTGATAATGCCCTGGACTGATGCATTACCTCGCGCGCCGACTGGCCACAACTTCAGCTCGCCCAGACGGCGGATGACGGCGACGGCATAGGAGTCTTGATAACTGCAAGAAGCAAGGCAGCCATTGGTCATTTTATTCTTGAGGGTGCTCGCAGACAGGACGTGATCCTGCACAGCTGATGACAAGGCCAGCAGCGCCTTCATGCGCTCGTTGTCCAGCCCAGCTTGAGAGTTAAGTCAGCAAAGTATTCGAAAAGCAAGTCTCAGTATACTTACAGTACACATCAGTCAGAACGCCCGGCTTGCCTAAGATGGGGGACTGGTTGTAACACACGAGACGCCTGGCAATCGTAGCAAAAAGCTCGTGCTGACGCAGCAGATAGGCATAGTGGAGTAAATCTTGAAGGTCGTCCTCATCTGCATTTTCCATAGCTTTCGATATCCAATAGTAAGCTGCTGTTCCGACAGCAGCCACACAGTCATACTTGTCCACGGTCTCTGCCAGGACCTTGAGATTCACCATAGAGCCCAAGCGGTCGTTCTTTGAATGCATGATGAGGAACAGCGTTTTCATGGTCTTCGCATCATCTTCTGGCAACTCGATCTCCACATATGACGCCGTCGCCAACGTAGTACCTTCTCGAAAGTGCGGACTGAGCATCGCTTTCAATACCGGCGAGGCGAGGCTGACGACCTTGGATGACACCCGGAGGCGCAAAGGCGAAATTTTGCGAAGGGTGCATATGAAGATGACATCTCCATCTGGATCGATGTCGACCTGATCGGCTTTCTGGTTCGCCATGGTTGATGTTGGTGTGTTGCGATCGAGAGCGTTTGAAGTGCGCTGATGTTTTCCAAGTGATGGAACGCCAAGGATTCAAATGTTTCACAAAAGTGAAGCTGACTTCTGGAAGCGCAAGCTCACTTCGACTCGGCCAGCATTGACCAACCCAGCCACCAGCATTCTGCGCATACAAAGCGACGCATTTCCTACGCATCTCTTTCATCCCCAAACACCGACTCCTCCATCATGTCCGACAACGAAGAAGGCCGCGCCTCGAAACGGCAAAAGACAACTCCCGACCAAGATGCGCCGACGCCAGCGCCAACACCGCAACTCCCAACGATGAAGGCACCAGCACCTCTCTACCCATCACTCCAGATACCAAACCCCACGGCGGCAGCCGGTCAGACGCCAACGCCGCAAACGCCAACGCTCCAGACCTCATCGATGCCATCTCCAACCGTCCAGCGACCCGAAGCCACGGTCGACATCTGCGGCGACGGCGACACCATCCTCGTCGTCTCCGGCATCGCCAACCTCTATAAAAAGATGGGCATCCGAGTCTCCTCGACAGTCCTCACCCTCGCCTCACCAGTCTTCAAACGCCTCCTCACCACTCCCACCACCGCATCCTCTCTCGCCACACCCCTCAGCGCAACTCCAACTCCAGCAGAACCCCCCCCTCGCCTCCTCCCCCTCCCCGACGACGGCGACACAATCTACATACTCTGCAACATCCTGCACCTCCAAAACTCCGCCCTCCCCTCCAAAATCTCCCCCGACCTCCTCTTCCGCTTCATCGCCACGGCCTCGAAATTCCAATGCATCATCGCCATCAGTCGAGTCTGCTCCCAATGGCTCGATCACATCTACCATCACCTCCCCCACCCCACCTCCACAACCCTTCTCTTGCACCTCATCGAAACATCCATGCTCCTCAACGACGCCATCTACTTCGCGCGCTTCTCGTCCAAATGGATCCTTTCCGCACCCCTCGGGAAGAAAGAAGTTTCGGAAATCGTCGAACCCTCCGAGCCGGTGCCTCGTCAACGTCTTGCGCGGACGTTACTCTCGCGCCAGAAATCCGTCCAGGAAGATCTGAAACGGGATTTAGATATCGTTTTGGATCCGCTGGCCGAGGCGCTGAGTGACGATGCGAGACATTACATGTACGAAGTTCCTCACCCCACCCCACCAAAACTGACTGACCTTGATTTACAGTGACTGCGCCCCAGGCGACGACCCCACACCCCCAGATACCCCCATCCCCTGTATCGTCGACAAAGACGCCTCAACCCTCTACCTCTCCGCCTTGCGCGACGCCAACCTCTGGCCTTCGTCGAAATGGTCGACAACGACGACAACGCTCGCCGAACTCGTGCGGAAATTTACGGATTTTCGGATTCCCGAGTATGATGCGAGCGATGCGTGTTATTGGTGTATCAATGTTGATGATAAGATTGTGAATGCCTTCAGTCTGGTGAGGGCTTTGCAGAAGGCGAGGGTGTGGGGGTTGTGTTTGGATTGTTATTTGGTGGAGGAGGGGGGTGGTGGTGGTGGTGTGAATTTGGGGGATTGTAGGGTTGTGCATGAGAAGGAGGGAGTGTTGGAGGGGGTTTTGAGGGGGATTGGGAGCGGGCCGAATAAAGGGTGAAGGAGAGAATGAATGTCGCATCGCTCTTTCGGAACTGGTTTGTACATCATTGTATGGTACAGGAATATGAGAGTGCTTTGCATCAACTTACAACAACAACATCAATTAATCCTTTCCCCCATCCATGCCTCTTGCAGCAGCAGTCAGCTCTCTCGTCAGCTCAGCTGATGATTCTCCATCCTGCATGTCAATATCATCACCCGCCTCATCTTCCTCCTCGCCTTCGACTTCTTCTCCTTCAACTTCAACCTCGCCCTCGCCCTCACCTTCATCATCGCCATCATCGTCATCTTCCTCGCGTCTGATCTGAGCTCGTGCACCATGTCTGGGAGAAAGAGGGAATTTCGGACCCACTGGCCGCCTCCGTCGCTCCGGGCTACTCTCTTCCTCCAATTCGCTCAACTCGCTCTCGTCATCCGCACTGTCATGGATGCTGCCTGGTGCACTGGTCTCCGCAGAAGGGCCACCAGAATCAGCTTGTCGTTCACGATCAATGATGCTTTGCACGACGGTGCTCTTGAGCGGGGGAGCATTCGATGGCAAGACTGGCGTGTGTCCGTGCCCGGGAGGCTTGCTCTTCTGGTAGCATCCTTCGGCACAAGTCCTGATTTCGCGACGACCGACTCCCATCTTGCGTCGCACGGGCGCTGGTTCCGGTTCTTTGGATGCGGAAGGAACTGTTGGAGGAGGCGGCTGGGCAGCGGGAAGGGAGTCGGCAGCACCATCGAGATTCATAATGCTCATGATGCCCATCTTCGCATGTGAAGGACTGGCAGTGTGTGGTTCGTGCACAGGTGGAGGTGGCGGACGGCTTGCCTCTTCTTCCTGCTTAATTCGCCTCTCCTCGTCTTGCAGTTGCTTGCCGACGGTCTGGAACAGATGGGCGTATGCGTCGCCAATCAAGTCATCAATGGCACCAGGCTTCATCAGCGACTGATTGACTTTCTTTAGCTCTTGCACTTCTCGCAGCACGTCGAGAGCAGGAGAGACACCATTCTCTTGCTTTTGCATCCACATCTCCAACGGCTCCTTCCTAGCTTGGAATTCCTCATACGCAATATTACTGAACGTAGAGGTTTCCAAGCCCTCTTGAAGACTTGCATGAGATCGCAACAGGCGAAGATAAGCGTTGCATAGCTCGGCCCACACCTGACCATGTTGAAAAACATCGTGAGGTCTTCGCCGCACTCTACGCGCGAGTGCTTCAAGATCCTTCCGGTCCCTCAATTGCTCCAGGATCTTAGCGAAGAACAGAGTGTAGCGAGCTGTGTATACGAAATGTCGTCCAGCTCGTTCATTTTCCGGTCTCCACACTTGCAGCACCATCGTCTTCGTAAACATTTGCTGAGTCAATTGCTCTTTGGCCGCGAGGGCCGCACTTTCCTGACCCGCATCTTCCATACCAAGCTCTTTGCGGTCATACACAATTTGCGCGTAGCGAGCAATCACGCGGTGGTACCAATTGGACTTGTCTGCTGCCCGAAGCTTCTTGAGAACAGCAAGAATGAAAGGGACCCAATCATGCCTACCGTCTGGGAAATCTTCACGCCGCGAGTAGTGCGTGTGATGGATTGCTTCCTTGGCTTGCTCCAAGCTGATACTGCCACGAACGAACAGCTTGTGGATGATGCTGACAAGCTTGTAGTGAGGCTCCAGAAGAGGCTCCTTCTTGGAGTCTTTGCTCTCCTTCTTGTCCTTGTCCGGGAGCAGCTCCAATGCACGCACAAAGGCCTGAAGGACCTGTTCGCCAGATGGTGAGGTATCGTGTCGTCTGCTTTCGTTGTTCGCGGAATGCATCTTCCACATACACTTACCAATCATGTAGTGGAGCTGCCATTGATCAGGTCGACCGGGCAAGGCGCGCTTGAATAGAACATTCGCCAACTTCCAGACCGTGTACTCCTGCAAAGGTTCGAATGGCCGCTGCTTGTGGATGCCATAGTTCCTGCTTACGAATATCTCGAGATCTTCAACATCAAACGGCTTCATGTCGAATGGAGCTCGCGAAGAACTGTACAGGCGAAGCGCAAAATCATGGTACAGTTCGGTCATCTTGCTCGAAGTCTCGAATTGTAAGTCGGCTGAGCGCTGTGCGAGTGCCGTCGCCATCGTGTAGCAGTGGATGGCATTTCGTTGAAGGGTGACAATATCGCCCATGTTGCTATTCAGCTTTTCAGCAGACCAAACGACAGTCTCCTCAATCTTGGTATCGTATGCTTGTCCAAGTCGAAACCATGTTTCCCAGTGCTCCATCCTCACTTCGAGATCCTGGTTGAAGAGCGCAATAGCGATGTCGATGTCGTCGAGAGGTGTGGGTGCTGTCCGTTTCTGCGACCGGAACTTTGTTAAGGCGATGTGTCCCATCAAGAAGTACCAGCCCTTGGAGGCAAGTAAGGCATCTCCGTCGGGGATCGCCGTGACTGCCAGCTGGCTGCCTTCGCCCTTCAGACATCCAAAGAGCTCAAGCGGATTGACGGCAGATTTGAGGAAAGCTCGATAGCTCTCCCTGTTGCGGAGAACGGCTTCGGTTGGCTTCTTTCTGGCAAGGGCACCATGAAGCTTGTCGATGGTATCTTTCAAAGGATGTTTGACGAGCTCCTTGATTGGCAATTTGCTGGCCTGAGCCAGCAAGAGGTCGACAGCCTGCAAAGCCACACCGCGATCGAGAAAAGCATCCTTAGTGCAGTGGTGCTCGATCAGCTCGTATGAGGGATTCAGGAAGCAGTTCAAGCCGTACAGGTCATAGAGAACTTGTGCTTGCTCGCTGTCGAAGCCATCCACGTTCTGCATCTTGAAGAATTCGTCCTTGAGCATACGAACGAATGCACGATTCTCGCAGGAGCAGAAGCCACGTATTCCCAAGTTGCGATGGACGGTGCGCAGGAAGTCGAAGCGGTCCTCTGTCGGTGTTGGATACAGTTCTCCATTCTGCTTGATCGCCTCTTTGAGCAGAGAGTAGAGCAAAATCCAGATCCTGACCTGTGACTCGTGGGTCAATGTCATCACATTCTTGAATGAGGCGACTGGCAAACCATTGGTCATGGTTGGAGGCTGCGACTGTCCCACGCGCAATGAATCTTCGGCCACGTTGAAGACTTGCAAAAGTTGCAGGATCTCAGCAAAGTTGTTCACTGCAAATTTGAGGTAAGCGTCGTCAATGCACTCGAACGCATCTTTGTTCTGATTTGCAGTCTCGTACATGAGTCTGACCAAATTCAGAACGAGCCCGAGGCTCTTCAAGGTGCACGCATGTCTTTCACGCGGCTCCAAAGAAGCCACATTCGGCGATTTCAGCTCTTCCAGTACTATGCCAATCATTCGCAGATAACAGCATAGTACCATTGGTGCATATTCGATACGCTGGTAGGCATTCCGGAGCCGCTGCCAGAGCATCAACCGAATCGAGATGGGACTCGCTTCAAGAAATCGCACAAGCTCAGGCGCAACATTTGTGTCCCCAGGCCGGTCTGCTTCGTTGGCGACAATCTCGTCCGAGCCATTCTTGGCAGTGTCTAGTGTCTCTAACAAGGGCTCTAGACTCTCAATGACCGCCGCTGGGTCGGAGAGGTCCTGATTGGTGACCTTCCAAAAGAAGTCCTTCGTAGTAAGCTTAGACATCTCCCGATCAAGAGCTGCAAGGGACAATTCCGGCATAATGGCATTGTTTTGTAAATTTATGGTCGGCTCGCCAGCCTTAACGAAGAGCGTTCGCAAGTCGTCCATACACTCTAGGACATGGTCTTGTTTGACGTCTGAAGAAGCGTTGAGCTGAAAGGTAGTTGCCCAAAAGAACCGGAGGCTAAGGGGATCTTCGGGCTTGAGTATGCCGGAGGTCTTCGTGTGAAGCTGCATCGACTCCCGAGCGAGCTCGGACCATCGCAGCAATCGATCACTCTGGGCAATGATAGTGTCTTTGTCGACACCGCTATTGGGCTCTTTGATCAGACAGTAGACGTCGAGATGCAGCTCGAATACAGTCTGCGCCAGAGTTGCCAGGCCACACAGAGACGAGCTTGGCATATCCTCACAGTCTGCATGTCTGGATGTCTCGAGCTCCGTACTCGCCTCCTCAAAGACGGTCTCATCAAACTGGACGAGTAGTCGAACGACCATGGTCTTGAGGGCATCCGGCCATTGGTATTGCGTGTAGCTGCTGGCGTCTTCGCCCAGTCCTGGTCGTAACAGATGTTCGACGAACTTCCATACTGCTTGGGACGTCAATGTCCACCGGCTGTTGATCATCTCTAGGAACTCGCCCAGTGCATCATTGGGCATAGGTGAGGCCTTGTACACTGCTTTGGAAGGACCGGCGCCACTCATGCCGACACCCGAAGTTGCAGAACCTGAGGTCGGCCCAAGCTCGAGGTTCTCGGTGCGTGACAGTAGGAAATGAGACAACTGATCGTCCCACTTGTCCAAAAATGCCTGCAAGTCAGAGCGTGTCTGCCGAAGAGTCTGGGAAGAAGACACAGGATGCCCAGACGGTGTGCTTCCATCCGAGGATGAGCATTGCATTTCTTGTCGCACGTTGCGAGGAGCATCGAAACCAATGATGCCGACTCTCTCGAAAAGGTTACCAACAGTCTCGAACATCCAGTCATCAGCGGCCTGAAATTCATGCAGCTGCTGCTCGTACTCCCAGCGAGTATTCGCATCTATGATTGCCTGACGGTCGGCGGCGGCATCAGCAGTAGAGTCTCGAGCACGTAGGCGTTTGCTCTTGCTTCGGCCCTCCTCGGCGTTGTCTCCCAGTCCAGCTGCATCGCCCGATCGCTTGCGAGAAGGCAAGGTAATCAGTTTGGGCGACTCATCCATGTCGATATCTTCTTCGTCGTCGACTGGCGACTCGGGCACCTGCATGCTTGGATCGGCTGCTGAGATCCGTGGCTGAACAGTGGGCTTGCCGCCATCTAAGCCTGGAAACTGTTGCGACAAGGACGTCGGAAAGGTGACCTGCCACTTTGGGATGATGATTCGTGGAAGAATGACTTTTGGACTTGGTGGCCTCTGTGTGATCTTTGGTTCGGCGAAATCAGCGCTGTTCATATCGAAGAAGATTGCGGGCGCGGCGAGCAGCGTAGTGGTGCCATTCTGTTCCGAGGTTCGCTGTCGAAGGAGAACCTCGCCCAGGTCTGCCCAAGTGGAGGGTGGCTTGAGCACTATGCGCTCTGGAGGTGGAGACTCTCGTGGACCTGCATGCTCCCTCACGACTGCTTCTTGCTTCAACAGATGGTGGTAGTGATGCAGTTTCTGTTTCAGCACCTTCGACAGCGTTCTTCGGTTGGCAGTGGTCAGAGGTGCTTGAAGGCAGGATAGTTGATCGTGCAGCTGCAGTACCAATTCTCGAAGCTGCTCGCCCGCGAAGCCTTCGTCCAGCCCGGGGAGCGACAGGACATGGCTCAAGCCTTGGTCGTCTCCATCAAGCACCGACTCCAGGCAATAGCGAGCGACGCGCTTGCTGTCCAGCATTTCTCCCACGGCAGCGGTGCGGCGCCACAGATCCAGGTCGGTGTCATCTTTGTCGAGCGCGTGCACCAAGTGGTTCAGCGCGTGCGTCGCGTCGGCCACGATCTGCTTGAGCGTGACATGGACGGTGTCGAACTGGGCCGCGAGGGCCTCGAGCGTGAAGTGGGCGTAGTTCTTGTGCGACAGGTGCAGGATCTGAGGAAGCGTGCTGGGGCCTTCCACGCCAGCGCCACCGGATGCGACCGCGCTGCGGGCATGGAAGCCGCCCTCATACTCGGCCGCGGGTCCGTAGAGCTCGATGCGGCGAAGTTCGGTTTGCGACTCGGGCCACGCGAAGATGTCCGACTGGAACAGCTGCTGGTAGGCCTCGGCGGCCAGGTCGAATGAGCCGGGCCCGTCGGCGTGGTGCTTCAGTGCGTTTTGGTAGAGCTTGAGCGCCTCCTCGATGTGCATCTCCTTGGTATCGTCGACCTCGATGTCGGATTCATCGTCGGATTCGATGTTCAGCGCCTTGAAGCCTGACATGGTGGCCAGAATGCTGTGTCTGGGGTCGAGTTGGGAGACTGCGGTATATCGCCACGCCGACGCCGAAGCGCTGGTCGATGAAGTTGCTGTCCATGTGTAAGATGCGAGACGCGACGTAGAGCGCAGTGCAGCCCGCGCGTGAAGCTGTGCGAGGCGAGATGAAGGCGCAAAAGTCGAGTCGAGCGATCGGCCTACGATGTTCTCGGTGACTAAAGTCGTGTCCACAGTAAAGGTACCCCGTACCCTGGCTCGAGATTCGTGTTGTCTGGAAGCTGCTGTCAATCGAACTGATCCGACCAACTCCACCCAATTGCCAACGGTCGCAATCATTCATTCCCCTGTTTGCATGTGATCGAACACCTTCGAAGCTACGCGACTGAGCCTGTCGTCAGATGCGGCGACCATGATCACGACCGGAGTGCCAGAGTAAGGGAGCCGTGCACGCTGGCTGATACACCGCAAAGCTCAATGCCACTGGAAGCTGAGACATGCAGTACAGATTGTTCGAGGACGAGGCGCACAATGTCGTCGAAATACGAACCGAAGCCCTGCAAACCCTCCGCGAACTCGGTCCGCCCGATCTTGTCCACCTGACGAAAGCTTCCCCGAAATCATCCTCCGCCTCGAAACAGGTACGCGCACGCGAGCGCACAGAGCAGAGATGAGGAAAGTGTGTGGGACAATCGCTGAGAAATGCCATAGATTGGAGTGTACCATCATGTCACTGGCGTCGATGCTTCGTCGCTGGCAAGCTTGGCCGCATACATCAACACCTTGACCTACGCTCCGAGCAATACGCCAAACAAGATCGCTGCGGGAACATACTGGTAAGGGTAGTGCAAGTCGTGGCAACAGCTATACTGACTGGAGCAGCTGCTACAATGCCTTTTCCAGAGTGGATATGCGCGTGCAGGTGCAGATACCGGGCACTGTCGAGAGCTATTGCGTGGACGAGAGAGGGAACAAGCTGGAAGCAACGGAAGAGCATTGGTTGGAGACATATCTATGCAGTGTGCTCAGAGCATACTCATATGCAGACACTGGCTCGGGCGACGTGATCAAGCGCATCATCGGAGTGCGACGCTTCAATCCAGTGCAGAGCACAGAGCAAGAGCAGAGATTCCTGGATGCTGCCGAGAAGCTGTTCTTCAGTGGTCAGTGAAACGGCTACGCACCTGTACATCAGGCTGACATGATCCCCAGGATGGCAATTGGGCTCCGACCCCGAGATCCAGGTGCCAAATCTGGTCTCCAACCATTTGACCTCCGGCCTACTGCATTATTTCAAGACCACTGGACGATTTGCCGCCGGCATCAATCTTTTCGAAAAGCTGAGGATGCGAGATCCTGAAATCTCGTCGCTTCTCGCCAAAGTCTACATTGCAGCGGACGAGGAGGTCAAGGCTGTGCAGCTGCTTCATGACGCCGTACAAGACCTACCCATGGACTATTCCATATTGGACACGCAAGCAGAGTTTTGCAACAAAAAAGGACGAGGTGACCTGGCACTTGAGATCGCGAAACGAGGTGTCGTATCTGCGCCGAGTGAGTTCTGCACCTGGGCGCGCTTGGCAGAGGTGTACGTTGGCATGGAGCAGTGGGACATGGCACTCTTGACGCTCAACTCATGTCCGATGTTCACATACCAGGACAAAGATGCCCCACGACTGCCTGAACCGGCGAGAATCTCCCTCCCGCTGGCGCCAGAGACGATGTGCGATGAGATCGATGATGCGGGCGCCACACCAGATGCCGACGTTGTGCATCCGACCTTGCGCAGACTGTCGGCTGGCAACTATAAGGGCACTTTCCTCAAAGCTTACATCCTCCTCACCGAGATAACAAAGAAGATAGGGTGGGATCAGCTTCTCAAGATTCGAAGTCAGGTCTTTGTCATGGAGGAGGAGTATCGCCAAGAGAAGCAAGCTGTGCCGGCTGGCTCTAGGAATGCCAGCACGGTGGCACTGCGAGGAAACGATACTCCACAGCCGAATGGACACAAACAGCCACAAGAAGCACCATCCGAGCCGGATACCGACGACATGATCAATGGTGATGGCGAACCCACAGCAGCATCATCGCATCTTGACCCAGACGTATCGAAACCGTCATCATCGATCACAGTGCGCTCCGATGCAGAGACACCACAACCCCAGCCACCTGTCCCCGGCTCCTCGAATCAGGCATATACCCAATTCCAGCACAAGAGGCTCTGCGAAAGATGGCTCGATAATCTTTTCATGGTTCTGTACGAGGACCTTCGTATCTACACCATATGGCGCACCGAAGCTTCGCAGTACAAACAACAACAATTGGCCTACAAGAAGAACGCCGAAGAGTGGGAAATCTTGGGTGATCTGGCCGAGCGGTTGCATCATCCGGATGAAGCAGTGGAGGCGTGGCAGGCGTGCTTGAGCATGCGATTCAGCCCGAAAGCTATGCGTGGAGTCCTGAATCTGTATGAGAAGCAGAATGATTGCAGAGGAATGCTTGGTGCTCTGATCAGACTGATCGCATGGCAGTACAGGTGGTATTCGGAGGTGAGTTCTGCCCTCGCACGACGCCTGCAGGACGCAATTGACAATTCCTCTAGTTCTCACCCGATCTTCTCTACACCATCCGCAAACTCATCGAAGAGGAAGGCGCAGTCAAGGTCCGAAGCATCGTGCAGGCAACAAGTCTTCCGCAGCCAATCCTGGACTTGACACATCAGTACGCCGCTCTTTGTGCCGCCTTCAAGAGCAGTGGGAGCGATGGTTAGCGACTTGGCTCCTACTGTGTTGCAGGGTAGGATGGCCGTCTAGGAGCTTGCTCGGGAGTATGTGATGGATCGGACATTAGCAGGGCGTTGGTGTTTCAAGATGGGATCAGAGGCTCCAAGTCTGAAGGAAAAGCATGCATAAGACAGTCGAAGCGGCGAGCCGCAGTTGCGAGCGCAGCATATACCTACCCAGCATTATTGCAGAAATACCGGAATTGCCAGACGTCTCGCTTTGTGTTCTCACCTTGAGGCCCTGTTCTCTTTCGTAATATATAGCATATTATCGTCCATTAATATGCTTAATATGGCTGTTCTCTTTCATAATATGGTGTTGACTCTAAGCCACCTAATCTCGCTGCTCGCTGCCCTCTTCCGGCAGGTATAGGCGTGTTTTAACAGTAGGATTAAGCAGAGTGAAGTGATAGATTTGCGATACGCCTAGAGCGTATCGCAATGCGCTTTTGCTAGGGGTTGCTAACCGCCTGCGCTTCTTCGAGCCGGTTGGAGAGCCGTATTTGTTCTTCGTAGACACCTTCTTCTTAGAAGACTTCGGAGCTATAGTTATAACACACCAATATGGACTGCAATAGCATAGAATATGGATACTATCTATACACGAAGTTGGAGCCGCCGCCAAGAGCTAGAAAGCTTAAAAACCGGTCTTGTTCTCTTTAATAATATAGACAATATGCGCTGGTTAAATCGACCTTATTAATCTCGACTAATATGCTATATATTACGAAAGAGAACAGGGCCTGACGGCCGCGCATCAAGTTCTCGCTGACTGCTCACAGACCATCTCGCACTTCCCTCCGAATCTCCGACACACGGATCAAGCTTCGGCAATCCACGATTCCAGCATCGCGAAGTCAAACACTTCGCTGTCAGAACGATCCTTTATATCGCGCACCTCTCCTTACTGCCTGCCTGCCTGCCTTTCCGATCCAACCCGACTTCCCCCCCCCTCACCGACATCGCCATGTAATCAGTACCATCGGCCCATCTCCGACATTCTTTCTTCATGTGAACACGAGCCAAAAGGGGCAAGTTCTCAAACCACTCACTTATATCCATCCAATCTACACTCTCATCAGGCAAGACATTCTCCCATCCTCCCATCGTCTCTTTTTTTTGGCTCTTATTACAAACCGACCATGCCTCTCCTCGCCCGCCGCTTCTCCATTACGAATTTCTGCATCGCCTCTTCGGCGTTGGCGTTTCAGGTTTTTGTCCTGTATCCTTGGCATCGGAAATTGGATCGCGAGTTTGAGGGGTTGAAGAGGGAGAATTTGAGGGTGGTGGAGGTGGTGCAGACGCAGACTCAGGTTCGAGGCGGAGGGTTGGGGGGTTGAAGGGGTGAGTGCGTTGGTGATGTTGTGTTGGTGCAGATTGTTGATGATTGAGCGGGTCGGTTTTGCTTCGATCGAGAGTCGCGGGTCTGGAGTTCTTGGTCTGTTGGGGCGGATAGAGGTGCGTGTTGCTTTCATGCAGCCAGTCAGTCCTAGAGGAAAGAGGGCCGTGGGTCTTGCCTGTACGATTCGTTCGAGGAGGTACATGGCACGGGTTCTTTGATGGAAATTGGAGGTGCTACCATTCTTGCTTGGCTGTTGGAGAGTCTTAGGAGGATAGAACTGTTTGCTTCTATTATTCTCCCAGTCCTAGAGGAGAGCGGCGCGTAGGATTTCCTTGTGCTATTCGTGCGAGGAGATATGTGAGACGGGTTCTTTGATGGACTTTGGGAATGCTACCATTCTTGGTGTTGAGGAAGTCGACATGGACAAGGCGGAAGCAGGAAAGGCATTTTTCGATCGACTGTCGCACTTCTGCGTGCTCTAGGTCACATATCGATACAGCGGGCTCTTATCACCCATATCGAGCAATTGCGCCTCCGTGTACCTCTCTTTCACTTCTTCTTCACCCATCAGATCCCTCTGCTTATTAATGCGGCTATACGCAATCCTAAGCAACAACGTACAAATGATCGCAGCAGTCAAGATCCCTAGACACAACCCGAAGCCCAAAGGATATTTTGGCGCCTGACTGGTCAGGTAGATGTTAGAGCCGATCGCACCTCCTAAGTTGCCGACGGAGATGAGCAATGCCATGCCTACCGCTCGTTTCCACGTTGGAGCAAGATTGTTGCCGACCCATGAGAGGATTGTGATCAGAGGAGGGTAGACGCCAGCCGGAATTCCGAAGAGGAAGGCGTAGGTCAGGCCAGGGTAGCGTGGGTGTGGGATGGAGAGTAGAGCGATGAAGCAGCAGGCGCCAACTGCGTAAGGACCAATGATGAATGGCCAGCGTGTCTGTTTCTTGTCCGCAAGCCAGCTGAAGAAGACGGTGGAGATGGCGCCGAGGACGTAGATGGGGACTGTGAGGAGTTGTGCTTCCCAGGTCTTGTACCCAAGCTCTTTGATGATTGTTGGGGCGGAGTAGGTAAAGCCGTAGAGACATATCTTGACGAGCATGACCGTCAGCTGATATCCGTGCTTGTTGTCGATGGAAGCATGTACTTACCGAATTCCCCCAGTAAATGATAACCGCAAACCAGATCTTCCATTCCAGAAGAGCCTCTCGGAGGAAATGCCATTGGAATCCATCATGGGTGTTTACATGGCCTGCTTTGGTCCCAGCATCTTGCATGAGTCTTCTATCGATGATAGATTTCTCTTCGGGGGTTAAGAACGAGCACGTCGCTGGCGAATCTGGCAGAGTCCAGTACAAGCTCGCTCCGATGACCACGGTGACGATCCCTTCAAGAATGAATATCCACCGCCATCCTTCCAACCCACCAACCCCCTCCATCTTTTCGATCCCAAAAGCTAGCAGCCCAGAGAATGCTCCAGCCAAACTCGCAGCGCTGAAGAACACTGCAAGCCGAGTCTGCACTTCAAATCTACAATACCATGTCGTGAGTAAGTAGGTTGCAGCAGGGAAGAAGCCTGACTCGGTGAGTCCCAGGAGAATTCGAGTGACGTAAAGGTGATTGTGGTTCTGCACAAGGCCTTGACATGTCATGACAATTCCCCAGCTGACCATCAAAATCATCATCCATACCGAAGGACGGATCAGTTTCAAGACGATGTTGCTGGGGACTTCGAAGATGGCGTAGGGGAAGAAGAAGACTGTATACCATGCATGCATCAGCGGTCGTCACTCCGCAAATCTTATCTCATCGAGTACCTGTCAATGCAAGATTGTATTCCGCTCCCGTGAGGTTTAGATCCTCATTCATTCCAGCTACTTTAGCATTCCCGATATTCCCACGGTCGAGGAAAGCCAAGAGATACAGCAATGTCAACATAGGAACTAGCCGAAAGTCGACTTTCCGCAGAATCCGAGCCGTCTGCTTGTCGTGATAGTCGGGGAGATCGGTTTCGTCGAGCCCGCCATAGGGTGGTGTCGCTTTTTCGACGGCGTCAGTGCTGTGGTCTGTGGATTCGAAGGCTGTGACATCTTTCTTCTCGTTAGGAGCTGACATTTTGGACGTCGCGAGGGGAGGGGAGGAGGAGAAGGATGGGAATTTGTAAGATGGCGGTGGAACATATTGGACAGCTAGCTCGCTGCATGTTCCCTTTGACGGTCATTTTTCGGATCCGTGGTCGGATCTTGCGGTCTCAAATAAGTCATGGATGCCATATGGATCATTCTGCAGTAGTTCGGATTCTTTTGCAGAGCCGAATGGGAGGCCGAGTTTGGTAATGCCGTCAGATGCCACGCCGTAGCTTTGGCATCTCTATCTGTAGGAGATTGCTCCGCGGCCTCGCTCGTTCTCCACGATTCTGGGGAAACTGAAGCGGGGTGCATCAATGCTATAGAATATGTGCTCGGAGTACTTGCCTTTCCGCTTGAAAGTTGAGCCTCATCAAGATGTGTAGAACTAGCGGTGTTCGACTCACCGCACTTCCATTTTGTTCGGGTGTTTCGTTACGCCTTTCTCTGCAATTACAATGCTTCATCATGATATAGCCGAGTCTTTGCTTAACCGAAGACCGAACCAGCAGACTGCCTGCAGGAGATTCAGCTGTATTGCGAAACCGGCAAATCAAAAAAATTTCCTCCAAGAACTATCTTCTAAGCCCCTACTCAATGTGGACGCCTGCGAGAGGCAGAGATGTATAGCCAGCAATCGCCAAAATCAGGCCACTCCAAAGTCTGACGGAGGGCTCTAGATCAAAGCACCCACTACAGCCGCGCCAACAGGAACTATGACCTTGTAGATCTCACCAACAGATGTGGCGGCCGCGGCTCCAGCTTCTGATGTTGGAGTAGCGGTGCAACTCGCGCCAGAAGATAGCAGCTTCTCGGCACCGGCAGTGATAGGGATCGGAGCATAGTTGAAGTCGTCCTTGTTCGTAAGAGTGGTGGTTGTTGAGGTTGCAGTGCTTTGGCCCTATATTACGAACTGTGAGTGGTTTTCTAAGCTGCCTCTCCGTACCGGAAAAACTCACTGCAATAGAACCAGAAATCGATCCTATACAGACTGCCTCGCTGGCTGATCCTGGAGGTCCGTCAAGGCTGCAGCTTTCCGAAAAGGCGACGACTGCTCCTATGGAGCTCGTGGAGTACTGTATCACATATTGCGAAGGGCCTTGGGTGACAGTGACCTAGCACGAGGTCAGTATGGGCCTGGACATTGCAGAGGCACACAGCTTTGATGGAGTGGGCCACGAACCACGGCATCTGAACCTGAGGCACAGATCGGGTCTTCTGTGTTGGTGCACTGCATTGCCAGAACTGTATCGCATGGGTTTGCGGTAACGACCGAGGCTGCAAAACTAGTAGTATATAAGCCGACTAGTCTAGTAATAGTAGTTTGCACAACCCTAGTTGCAGTAGCGGCTCCTAAGGAGCTCTAGGTTCCGCAAGTAGTATTCTAAGTAGTAGTACCTAAGGCTATCGTAGCGATTATAAGAAGCTAGAGGAATATCTTAGCGTAGTAGTAGTAGGCGAGTTAGAAGTTAGTACGTCGTTTAATTAAGCTAGAGAGGGTTATAAGCTCTTACGAGAGTAAATAGCCTTGCTTTTACGTATCGATTACTTATAGTCTTATATATTAAATTTACGCTATATATACTTATTATTATAGACTATAGCTTTAGCCTTTAGTAAGCGGCTTAGGAGCTAAGGATTGCTATATATCTAATTGTAACGCTTCTAAAACGAGGTATAGTCGATAGGCGCTACGTAATTAGGGCTCCTACCTAACTAGTCTTCTTAATTAGAGTCGAATAGCTAGATAAGCGCTAGCGCTTAAATCCTATAAGGCTAGGCGTAGACCGTAATTCCGCGGCGGTACAATTGCGAGCGAAGCTCTTACTACTGCCCTAGAACCTCTTAAAGCTAACCTAAAGATTGCGGCTAACTATAACTAAAAGACGATACTAAGATAATATAATAGTAATCCGAGGATAGTATAATATAATAACGATGTAAAAATAATATAGGAATAGTATAGCGATAATATAATAGCAATCTAAGGATAGTATAATATAACAACGATATAAAAATAATATAGGAATAGTATAGCGATAATATAATAGAAAAATAATAATTTAATTATAAAAAGGAATACGAGCTTTTACTATATATAAGCAAGTAGTAAGTAAGGGGGCTTATAAGTAGGGTAGAAGCTTCGCTCGTATATTATAGGTATACGTAGCTACTTATTAGTATATATTACTAGTAGTCTATAAAGTAAGCTATAGACGCTAGATATAAATACTAGAGTAGCTAATTATTTAAAGTAATTTTTTTATATCCCGCGATAGCTTAGTTATAGTAATATAAGATAGAGAAGGCAAAGAATAATACGCTAGTATTATAATAAAGTATTATAAAGTAAAAACTAAGGCTTAGAGAGTACTATAGAATCGTATTATTAAAGATAAGGCCCTAACTAGAAGAAGCGTATAGGGGCTCTAGAGTAGGCTATTACTAGCTTATAGAATAGTACTAGTAGTATACTTAGTGTACTACTGCCTTCTAGTAGTACTATCGCTATATCTATTAAGAATTAATAGTTATAGGAAAGCCTTAACTATAAGCTAAGCGAGCCTACTAGAGATACTTTTAAATTAATTTAGCTAATAGATATAGAAGATCCCTAATCCTACTAGCTCTATATAAGAACCTAAGTAAGTAAAGTCTTCTATCCTATCTTCGTAAATCTTGTGTAATAGTTATGTGATGTTTTTATATATACTATATTACTAATCCGCTAGCGCGAAGCCTACTTAGCGTATACGCGGAGATACTCGGTAGCCGGTACAGTTAGACCCCGTAGCAGTTTAGTTTCCGAACTACTGAACGTATATAGTCCAGTTTCTTAGCGGCGAACTAGCTCCCTAGTTCCGGTTTAGTTTTTTCGAACTATATAGATTCCTAGTTTAAACTAGAGACTATATTAGTTTTACTATAAGGACACTCTTATTCGACTACCGGCTACGATTGCCGGCTATAATAGTAATTCTATTATATTTACTACGCTCTTTTGCCGTTACTAGAGCGTAGTTACCGTTACTAGGGCGTAGTTGCCGTTACTAGGGCGTAGTTTTGCTATAAGGATACTCTTATTCGACTACCGGCTACGATTGCCGGCTATAATAGTTACTAGGTTATATTTACTACGCTCTATTACCGTTACTAGGGCGTAGTTGCCGTTACTAGGGCGTAGTTACCGTTACTAGGGCGTAGTTACTATTACTAGGGCGTAGTTGCTATTACTAGGGCGTAGTTGCTATTACTAGGGCGTAGTTACCGTAGTTACGAAAGCTTACCTATATAACGTTACGTAGGCGGTAACAATTAGGGCTTCGCGATATTCTTATACTTTTAACTTCTTCCTCTATATCTATACCGATAATAACTACTATACGCTACGCCCCTGCCCCTTTTCCTTATAATAGTAAGAGAGAAGCGCGCCGCGCGCTAAATAGAAAATAGAACTAAAGACCGCGAGTTTGTTTTACCTAAGCGTCTAACTAAAAAGCGTAAGACTAAAAAGGAGTACTCTACGAAGAAGAATTCTATACGAGACCGCGAGAGAAAGGAGAAGATAGATAAGGATAGCTAGCGCCTATAGAAAAAAGTAAAGGTTAGAATAAGAAGATAACCTAAGAAAAGGCTAAGAGGAGGAAAGAATTGCGGCTAGTTTTCGAGCGTAAAGTTCTAGTAGCGTAAATTAATCTAGCTAGCGGCCGTAGCTAGTAGCTATAGCCGGTAGCTATAGCCGGTAGCTATAGCCGGTATATTTTTCTTTAATACGTTAACTAATAGTATTTAGACCTATAGCCGCTATCTCTATCGATACGACCGATAGTAACGGAGATATTTAGATAGCTAAGAACAATAATACTAGAGTTTAGGATACCGCGATAGAGCGTAATACTACGAATAAAGGAACTAAAAAAGCGAGGAGATACTATACGTCGATCTAGTAATAGGTATAGTCTTAGGGCCTAACGCTATAAACGATAAGCGCTAGAAGTAGATCGAGTATAGTTAAAGAGACGAGATACTAGTAAAGGGCTAAGGTATAAGTCCTATTAATCTAGAAAATTATAGTTAAAGCTACTACGAAAAGCTAGTAAGGATTAGAATCGAGACTAGTTATCTTTATATCCTCGATATAGAGTAGAAGTTTCTTTATTAGTATTAGAGCGAAGCCTTTACGTCTATAAAGGTAAAGTAGCTTACGATTAATACGATCGGGGCTAGGTATCTAGGGACGGTAGAAGTATTACTAAAGGAGGAAGGGGTATAGGTAATTATTCTATACTCGGTATATATAGCCGGCATTTATAGCCGGTAGATACTAATAGTTAAATAGAAAGCGTTTCTCGAAGGTAGAGTACTACTACTATATAAAATCTTTACTAAGATAGAGAGGGCTTATATCCGGAATCTAAGCTACTAGTAGGATAGGTTAGCGTTAGAATTCTCTAAATCTCTATATAAGCCTCCGAAGGATTACCTATTTTAGCGATACGGCTTTATCTCGACTACTCCGTAGGTACTCGAAGAAGCTCGAGCGCTCTTTAAGGTCTTTACTAAGAAGCGGAAGGAGTTCGAGGATTAGGATTAGTTAATAGAGCTATTAGTTAGTCTTAGGTTTCGTAGTTAGACTCGGCCTAAGTATTTGCTTATCGAGTATCTTATATCGAAAGAGGATAGATTAAGACTAAAAACGAGCTTAGATTCGTTAGGTATAGTAGCTCGGTTCTATTAGTAGGAAAGAGCCGCCGTATAGAAAGTAAAATTTAGGTAGTTAGGGTAGCTAGGAAAGAAATTCTAGTAGTTAGGCTAGCTAGGGTAGCTAGGAAAAAAAATATAGTAGTTAGGTAGCTAGGAAACAAAAAAAAGGTAGCTAGCTATATACTACCTAGCTATACCTAACGATACGATACTATAAAAGAAAGGGTATTTCCCTATAGCTACTAGTATATATCTACTACTCCTAAGTCCTTACCTTACTATACGAAACTTTAAAACATACTAACCGATATTGTATATATACTAGGCGCTATACTAGGAAGGGTAATAACGAGAAGATAGTCGAAATAGTCTAGTATATAAGCGAGATTACGACAACGTCGAGAGGAGGTCGTATACTTACTTTCGGGCCTATCGAGTCCTAGACGACAA